TTTATTTATTTATTTATGTGACTAACATGACTGTACTTTTGAGCTGAAAAGGAAAGTACTTTCTTGTGCAAACAGGGGGAAGTCCAGTATTTTATTGGAGTACAACTTGACGGGAGTCAGCACGTCGAACCGCTAAGCAATTGCATATCGGAAACTACTGCAAAAGAGGGCGAAAAATTGGTCAGATGTTAATTTTGCACAAGAAAAATGCTAAAGAATGACATGTATTTCATTTAACTAAGAGTGTTGTTGGAAGGGTTCTTCTGCATTTCACGGTCTTGTGACTTGTTTACTGATTGTCCACTGGCCAGGTAAAAGAAACTGCTGAAAATATTGATACGGCGGCTAGAGAACTTCCCGATGCCAATTTGGTACGTGAAATCCATGTATACATCTCTTGAAACAATTTGAAGTTTCAGTTTCTGACAAGAAATCTCTGCAACCTACAGACACCAGAAGATTTATGGGCAAATCATTCTAAAGTGGTCAAACCAAAACCTCACAGAAAGGATAGTGCTTCTTGGAAAGCTTTCCAGAAGGTAATGTTTAGTTTATTTTCACCTCTTTGCCTGAATTTGAATTTTTACCGTTGGATCGTAAATAGTTCGAGCTGTCTTGCAATCAGATCTTGAGGATTGTTGGGAGAGGAGTCCCACGTCGGCTAATTAAGGAGTTGATCATGGACTTATAAGTAAGGAATACTATCTCCACTGGTATGAGGCCTTTTGCGGAAACCAAAAGCAAAGCCATGAGAGCTTATGCTCAAAATGGACAATATCATACCATTGTGGAGAGTTGTAGTTTCTAACATGGTATCAGAGCTATGCTCTTAACTTAACCATGTCAATAGAAACCTCAAATGTCAAACAAAGAAGTTGTGAGTCTAGAAGGTGTAGTCAAAAGTGACTCAAGTGTCGAACAAATGGTGTATTTTGTTTGAGGGTTCCATAGAAGAAGTCGAGCCTTGATTAAGGGGAGGCTGTTCGAGGGCTCCATAGGCCTCAAGGGAGGTAGGATGGTGTACTTTGTTCGAGGGGAGGATTGTTGGGAGAGGAGTCCCACATTGGCTAATTAAGAAGTTGATCATGAGTTTATAGGTAAGGAATACTATCTCCATTCATAGGATGCCTTTTGGGAAACCAAAAGCATAGCCACGAGAGCTTATACTTAAAGTGAATAATATCACACCATTGTGGAGAGTCGTGGTTTCTAAGACCAGATTCTCACAAATAATTGTAACTCGGATGTAGTGTTTGTGGAATCACGTCTTCCCGTTCCTAGATTTACACAAATTTTTAGGCAATATATGTACATATGCTTGTGATTTCTCTACGGGGCTCATTGCATAATCTGTTCTTGAATTTTCGCTATTGTCATTTTCGTTGACTAATGTTAGTTATCCTCTTATGGTACAGATTTTAGACAGTGGAGAACAGATAGGACTGAAACATTTCAAGCCGGTTAAACCTTTGGGATCAGGTGATACTGGCAGGTTTGTGTTGTTTCTATCACGTTGGTTTAGTATATATTTGTGAGATCCCATATTGGTTGGAGAAGGGAACGAAACATTTCTTATAAGGGTGTGGAAACCTCTCCCTAGTAGACGCGTTTTAAAACCATGAGGTTGACTGCGATACGTAACGGACTCAAACGGACAATATCTACTAACAATGAGCTTAAGCTGTTACAATATTTATCAATAAGCGACCACGAATCACTATATCATTTGTTTACATTGTCGGCTGCAGTGTGCATTTAGTAGAACTGTGTGGGACTGATCAGTATTTTGCCATGAAGGCAATGGACAAGGGTGTTATGCTTAACCGCAACAAGGTTTTGAAAAATCTCTCTTTTAATGCTTCATTTGATAAGCAAAGTATTTATAACTTTGGCTATGAATTTCTTCTACTTTGTCTTGGAAAAAACTCTGTTCTGTTTTGCTGTACAGGTGCATAGAGCTTGCGCCGAGAGGGAAATACTCGACAAGTTGGATCATCCTTTTCTTCCTGCGTTATATGCTTCATTTCAGGTTAGAAAGTTACCGACATTTTCGACATTGTCGACAGTGGGCAGAACACAACAACTTCTTTCAGCTGTTAAAACGACACAGACTGTTGACTTATTCTTTGTTTTTCAGACAAAAACACATGTTTGTCTTATAACTGATTACTGCCCTGGTGGAGAACTCTTTCTGCTTTTGGAGAGACAACCTAGAAAGGTTTTAAAGGAAGATGCTATAAGGTAAACTAAACCAAAGCTTGACTATAATAATCCAAGCTCAAACCCTCTGCCAGTAGATATTGTCATCTTTGAGCTTTCTTTTTCGGACTTCCCTTCAAAGTTTTTAAAATGCGTCTGCTAGGGAGAGGTTTCCACACTCTTATAGAAAATGCTTCGTTCTCCTCCTAAACCGATGTAGGATCTCACAATCCACCCCCTTCGAGGTTCAGTGTCCTCGTTGGTACTCGTTCCCCTCTCCAACCGATGTGGGATCTTACAATCCACCCTCTTTGTATGCCCAGTGTCCTCGCTGACACTCGTTCCTCTCTCCAATTGACGAGGGATCTCACTTTGACATTCTAACGCTTTATTCATGAACCAAAGTTGGATCTTTCTAGCAATTGGCTAATGTAAACTTGAGAATCTTTTAGGCCCGATCTGATAACCATTTTGTTTTTATTCTCTGTTTTAGACATCTTCGCTTATAAATACTACTTCCTTCTACGTGTTTCTTTGCATTGTCTCAAGCCACACTTTGAACACAAAGATAAAAACGAAATGGTTATGAAACGGAGCCTTAGTAACGTGCGGTGAATGTGGATGGATGTAGGTTTTATGCTGCTGAAGTTCTCATTGCATTAGAGTATCTTCATTGTCAAGGGATAATTTACAGAGATCTGAAGCCTGAGAATGTTCTACTCCGGGGAGACGGACACGTGACGTTGACGGATTTTGACTTGTCATGTTTGACTGCTTCCAAACCTCAGGTTTCCCAAATACTTGTGATATAATTTAGGAACCATTTTTCATCATCAGTCATTTTGGCTATAGAAATTCTCTTGATGTGAATTCTGTCATCTGCAGCTTTTGTTTCCAACGACGAATGAGAAGAAAAAACGCTCAAGATCTCAACAGACTCCGATCTTTATAGCTGAACCTATGCGAGCATCGAACTCATTCGTCGGCACTGAAGAGTACATAGCACCGGTTTGTACTACTTGCAAATACTTTTCCATATCTAAAATAAGAAAATCAAACTACGACTCGAAATAACAAATATTTGGACTTTAAAATTTGTTCGTCTTCACTATATTAGAGTGTATGATTTGAACACTGAGAATCTTTGTTCCTTTATATGTTGTGTAATCAGTGAAGTTCAACGTCATTGTTATCATCGAGGTCTAATTTTGTAGGAAATCATCACTGGGGCTGGCCATACTAGTGCAGTGGACTGGTGGGCTTTGGGTAATTTTCATGATGCTCTTATCTGATTGAAAATGTTTTGAGGATTATATTTTGATTTTGATTGCTTATATATGTTCTTGGATGGTTTAAAAATTTAGGTGTCCTCCTATATGAGATGCTCTATGGATACACACCCTTTAGGGGGAAGACGAGGCAAAAGACTTTTGCCAACGTTCTTCATAAGGATCTTAAATTTCCCAAAAGTATATCGGTAAAGACTTTTGATCCGAGCAAAATATTAGTAGATTTATAACAAGTTTCAAAGTTTTGATGTTCGATATTAGGAAACCACGAACCTCTATAATGATATGATATTATGTACTTTGAATATAAGCTCTTGTGATGTTACTTTTGATTTCTCTGAAAGGTATCATACTAATGCAGATAACATTCCTTACTTAAAAACGCATGATCTTTCTGATGACATATACAAATCTATAATGTGAAAACTTTCAAACGTTGCGTTTCAGGCAAGTCTCAATGCAAAGCAATTAATCTTCAGATTATTGCAAAGAGATCCCAAAACTCGATTGGGTTCTCAACAAGGAGCTAATGAAATCAAACGACATCCGTTCTTCCGAGGCATCAATTGGGCGCTCGTTCGCTGCATGGTAAACTACTACAAACTTAATCTCAAGAGAGCTTTATTTTCTGCTCATGCTCATGAGAAGCTTCCATTTCCTAACATGTCGGGTTACATTTCAGAAACCTCCCGAGCTCGAAGCGCCTCTCTTCCCGACCACCGATGCCGAAAAAGAAGGTAATAAGGCATCAGATTTTGATGGAAAAGATGTTGAACTCAGTGTTTTCTGACAAGTTCCCTTTCTTTGTTTGATTGGTTTAGAATGTCAAATTCTTTTAGGCTTCACAGCTTTAAATATTGAAAGCTTGTTTAGTGTTTATTTAATCTCTACCCAATGTAATAAGAATATTGTAAGGTGGTGGTGATTGGCTAAATAATCTCTTAGCTCTGCTTTCTTAAATAATATAGTCAAGAAAATTTTAAAAAATATTTTTAAATTTTTGTTTTTATTTTGAGAATTTATGAAAATAGGTGTAATTTCTGTATAAAACACGAGAGAATTTAATGAAACCTAAGGATAATATTGTAATTTTTGAAAGAATGTCCGTATTTTTTAAATAAAGGATAAAGTTAAGAGTATTTTTTTTAGAATTTAAACCTAAATTTATTTAAAACTATACCAAACGAGTTGAAAAATATATTTAAATTAAAATGTTAAAATAAATATTTGGTATATTATTAAATGAGAAAAATATAATTATTATATTTGATATAATAAATATTAAAATAATTAATATATATTTATATCTTAAATAAAAATACATTTAACATTCAAAATAGTTAAATTTATATTAGAATATATTTAAATATCACTTAAAAGATTTTTTAAAAGATTTTTCAATTTTCTGCCCAATAGAATTCTTCCAAATTTAATTTTTTAAAAAAAATTAATTGATATATAAATTAAAAATTTCCATATATTTTACCTATTTTATATAAGTATTTATTTATTTATTTCCCTTTAAAACCCTAAAATTCGGCGGTGTGTTTTTTGGTTTCCCAACCTGACAAGGGGACCGATAAATTCTTCCTTAAACCCTAAAATCGTTAGTGTGAGAGGGCGATGAAGACGATCACAGGAAATGTGGTTTCTTCGAAGCCAATCTCCCTTTCCAAAGCGGCGTCCACTCTCTCCTCCTTTCTCTCCGTCGATAATGGCGCTTCGAAAGCGCTCTGTGCCTACCTGAGACGCGCCTCTGCCTCCTTCAACGAGTTAAAGCAGCTTCATAAGGACCTCAAGTCTTCGCGGTCCGATCGGAATCCCCGACATCACGGATTCGAGGTTTCAAGTGGTTTAGAGGCTGCTGTAGATAGTTCACATCGGATCGAAAACGGTGAGAGGATCAAATCTTCTGTAAATGAGAGCAAAAGCGGGAAGAAGCGGCGGGAGAGTAGGGATCGGAATGAGAACGAGCAGGATGGGAAAACAGCAATGGCAAGCGGTGGGAATGGTGATTTTGAGGATGTAGTGGGTGAAGATGGAAAGAGAAGGAGCGACGAATTGAAGACTGAAATTGAAGAAAAACCTAGCCGAAGAGTCGAGGTCGATGTGAAATCAAGCGATAGAGATGAGAGCGTTGTAGGAATTGAGAAGAAGAAAAAAAAGCACAAGAAAAAGAGCAAGGATGGAGAAGATGAACGTGATGCTGAAGTCGGGCAAAGTTACGGTAAATCGCAAACTAGTGCTAATAATGGCGAGACTGAAGCTACTGAAGATTTCATTGAGAACAATGTAGGAAGGGGAAAAGATAGAAAGAAGCATAAGGACAAGAATAATTTGGGGGATGAAAAGAGGACAAAGAAGGACAATGATGATGAAACAGGTCTTGTGGAGCTGTCGACTAAGGATAAGAAGAAGAAGAAGAAGAAGAAGAAGAACAGGGAAGAAGATGATGACGATCTTCAAAATAACGGTGGTGGGGCTATAGAGAAAGAGAAAATGCCAGTTTCGGATTGCCAAGAACTGAAAAGGAAAGAAAGTAAGAAGAGGAAAAATGGAGACTTGGAAGAAGGGGTAGATGATGGTTCAGAGGAGCAGCAGGGTACAAAGAGAAGGAAAAGAAAGTCATGAGACAAGCAAGGATGAACTTGTAACTCATTATTTGTTAGGAGTTGATGAAGTCTCTGTATTGGAAGATCCCATGTGCTCACAGCTTATTGGAAAGTCTGTTTACTAATTGCTATCAATGGTAATAGTTTTGATGCTTCATATCATCGTTCTATTTTGATTACTTATACCAATTTTATCTATCAATTTAGGAAGCTTATGAAAATTTGAGTTCACCCTTCTGGCCTTCGGTTTAGTTTGTCATTGATTTTCTGAGCTATTTGATTAATGAAAGCTTTCCATGTTCTTGATTGTTTTTCCATGTCTGTTGTGGGTACTTATGTTTTTGTTTCAATGAGGAGCCCATTGATCTCCGATGTGTTTATTGCAAGAAGCAAACAACAACTGCGTGGAAGGCAGCTGCTATATGCGAAGGAAATGTAGAAGGTACATGATTTGATGCATATTTATAGCATTGCATCAGGTAACTCTCAGCTGTTATGAACATTGTTTTGAGTTAATGATAAAAGCTAATGTATTCCTATTCGATCCAGAGATGGATCAGCCTGCATTGCCCAAATGGTTTTGTGCTTGTATCTCATTATGAAAACTGTTGTTCTTTGAGTCATCGATCTTGGACCAACAAGTATACCATGGAGTGTCTGCTGCCCCTCCTTTGAGAAGGGTATTGCATGCCTTAAAAGAAGCCTTTATCTAGTGGTGCCCATCTGTAGCAAAGCTTGCTAGAACTTTCACCTAGAACTTTCACCGCTTTGTTAATTAGATGTAACAGCCCAAGCCCTACCGCGAGTAGATATTGTCTCATTTGGGCTTTCCCTTTTAGGCTTCCCTTCAAAATTTTAAAACGCCTATGTTAGGAAGCTTTAGGTCTCAAAATGATTCAAAAACTGATAAACGGCAGTCCGTCCTTTTGTCATAGGAATAGAACTGGAAGTTCATGTAGTCTATTGGATGTCCATACTTCCTCCACCACAAGGCGAATGGTGCTATGGGTGCAAATGAAATAACATTTTGACGTTTGAGATGGAGTAGAAGCTGTGACCTATTCCCTCAGTGAACATATTGGAGTTTGCTTTGAAGTGTTCATATTCAATTCCTCAAATCCATATAGGATCCATACTCCTTCCCTCGGTAAACCTATTAGGGAAGGAATATCTGCTTTGAAGTGTTCATAATCCATACAGGATCATACTCCTACTTTCCCAAGATTTAGGGGATTTGGGTTTGAAGTATGCAAGTTCTTTGCCTCCTGTATCACCCTCAAGACTGATTGCGAACTTAACGTTCGAATCCTGGGCCTTGATCGAAGAAACAGAAGAATCGCTCATAAATTTCAAACTTTCTCGAATGGCTTCTGATAATTAGCATCGTTTGTGGCTTGCGAGGGCGAAGAACAAATCGTCATTAAGCAATGTGTTGATTATTCCAAGAAGACAGTCTTTTTTGGCTCTAATTACAGCTTCTATGAATCTGTATAAGCCAACACTTTCTAATATAGTGTATTGATTACAAATATGTTAAAACATTTAACATTGATTGGGTTATTTAACACTTCAATATTTATCTTTTTTTATAAAATGAAATTACAATCCTCTTATGAATGTTTTCATTGAAATTGTTTATTTTTAATAATGTATATTTGATAAAGATATTTCTGTAAAAAGAAAACACTTTTAATCATTTAAAATTATTCTAGAATCATTACAAACATACTGTAAATTATAATTGTTTCCAAATGTGTTTGTTTTCAGCAGTAATTTAATTGAATACAAGTTAAAAATAAGCTTGTTTACAAGACTACAAAAATAAGATTAATAATTGAATACTTTAGAGATTTAAAAGCTGTCCACTAAATTAAACCTTCGAGGTCGTGGCTTGTTGGCTTTGTGGGAGCAAACTTAGTGTTACTCATGCAAGTCACAGGTTCGATCTGTAAAGGTGCCAAGAATCAACAAATTCCACTAATAATTATAATGACTGATTTATGTTGAGGTATTCTAAAATACCTTTTTGGAGATTGGTCAGATTTCAAACGAATAACTCGATTATTAATTTGTTTATAATCACCTGTAAAAAAAAAAAAAAAAAAAAAACTTAATAAATACTAATATTTATTTTCTAAGAAATAAAAAAATACTTATAATTAATAATAAGTAATTAATAGAACCGCGTGTAATTAAAATTAATGAGAAGAGAAAGTTAAGATATAATAACAATTTTGCTGAAAAAATTTATATTTACTTTAAGTAGTTTAAAAGTAAGCGATAAGTTACCAAAACTGATCGCGGCATGTTGGCTTGGTGATGGAAATGAGGTGGGCCTTGTTTATCATCAACGTCACAGGTTCGATCCGTTTGGTGAAGTGAAAAGGAAGAAAAACAATTCAAGATGTATAATGCCAAGGTATTCCAAAATACCTTTTATTTATATAATAATATTTAAAATAAAAAGTAATTTTTTATATAAAACAATATATTTAATAATTGAATTATAAATTTAATCTATATAATTAAAAATTTTCTTTAAGAAGAATTAAAGATATAATAACAATTTTGCAATTTTGTAAGTGAAGAATGAATGCTTGTAGAATTTTCTTTGCCTTAGAACATGGAATAGGTTGAATTGGAATATTTGGAACACAGTGATCCTTATTTTCTTTGGGTTTTTCCTTTCGAGCTTTACCCACAACGTTTTAAAACATTAGAGAGAAGTTTCCACCCCTACTTTATTCCCCTTTTTAACCCACGTGAGTTCTCACATTAGAGCTTTGGGTCTCAAAATGATTCAAAAATTGAGAAGCTGTGATCTTTTTGTCACTGGAATAGAACTGGAAGTTCACGTGTATTGGATGTCCATACTTCCTCCACAAGGCTAAGTAATAAGATCAGAAGATGTTGTCCTCAAATAGTGTTAGGTCGCAATCTTGTGGCAGTGGGACAACGATTGTGGGATACTTGTTCTAATCTAGGAACAAGTTTGCCGTGAGAAATTTAGATTTCATAGACAACGTCGGCATATGATCGGGTCTTGGGTCATGTTTGTAATAAATGTTTTAGAAAACGTGAGCGAGGAAATACGCTTGAAAAAAACAAAAAAAAACAATGTTATATGATTATAAGCAAATAAAGAAACATCATGTCTTCAATACGGGTGTAAACATGATTTTGGTGAATAGTCAATCATACACTCCCGTATTGACATAACATGAAATAGTAAAGGTCTAGACCTATCTAAAATAAAAGCACGAAAAAGGGGTTTGCAATGGACATGTGACCATGAACAAGCATGACCGAGACATCCAACGTGTGGAATTCATAGAGAGTCATACTCCTTCCCCTCGGTAGTAAACATATTAGGGGCTACTTTAACCTAAGATTTATTGGATTTGGGGTTGAAGTATGCAAGTTATTTGCCCACTGTATCCCGGGGACTGATTTCGAACTTGATGTTCGAATCCCGAGCCTTGATTGAAGAAACATTAAACATATTTAAATAAAGCTGTCCAACAGATATAACCTTCTACGGTTGTGGCTTGTTGGCTTTGTGGGGGCGAACCTGGTGTTTCTCCCCCGCGCAAGGTCACGGGTTCGATTCATGAAGGTGCAAAGAACCATTGGGAAACCCAGAAAACAGATATTGCTGATTTATGTCAGGTATTCCAAAATACCTTTTTTTTTTTTTCTTTTTGGAGATTGTCAAATTTCAAGAAAATATTTTAATAAATAATAAATATACGACACAACTCAATAATAATGACGTATGTATATATATTTAGTAATTGAATTAATTAAAAAAACACAATTGCAGTGCAATTAAAACTAGTTTGGCATTTTTTTATAAAAAAAAAAAATTTAACAAATTATCTGAAAATAACTTTTCCAAATAGTGTTTACAAACATAAAATTTTAATTTAGTCGAATATAAATTATAAAAAAATTATTATTTATAAATTAAAAAATAAGCTGAAAGTTACCAACGCTCCTCGTGGCTTGTTGGCTTGGTGATGGAATTGAGAGGTGTCTCAGTTGGTCGCCATGTCGCAGGTTCGATCCGTCGTGTGGTACTGAGAAGGAAATAAATAAATAAATATAGGATGATGATTTATGCCCAGGTATTCCAAAATACCTTTTCTTGGATATTTTTAAAAATCAAAATAATTTTCATTTTCCTTACAAATATGACATTAATATTTTTATTATTAAAAAATAAGGTTACTAATTAAATATTTTAAAATTTAAATAGAAAACTCTCAGATTTAGATTACCTTTCGTGGTCGTGGCTTGTTGGCTTTGTGAGGGTGAACTGATAAAGAACACTCTACTTCAGTCCCCCAAGAAGTCCCAGGTTCGATTCCTAAAGGTGCAGACAAACCACCAAAACCCTAATATTATTATCTGATTATGGTTGAGGTATTCTAAAATACCTTTTTGGAAATTAAACAAAATTTTCAATATAATAATTATGGATTGTAATTATATGACACAACTCAATGATAATGGTATTTTTAAAGGGTTTTATTTTAATATGAGCATAACTTAATATATTTTAGTTTATATATTTAAATAAATCAAAATGCTTGTTCTAATCATCCATTTTATGGGTACTTAATCTTTACTTTTGTATAAATTTGTAGAGGGATTTTTTATTTTTATTATTAATTGATTTTTTAACAAGAAAATTCTCTAATTATGTAGCAAGAAATACAATTATATTAATAATTAATAAAATCGCTATGCAATTAAAATTATTCTGTTTTTTTTTTAAATTAAGATATAATAACGAAAATAATTTTCGAAAAAGTGCTTACAAACTTAAATTTTAAATTTTGTCCAATTAAAAAAAATTGCTTATAAACTAAAAAAATAAAGATTATATTATTTAAAAAATAAGCAAAGAACACCAAAACACTTCGTACTTCGTTGGCTTGGTGAAGGAATTGAGTGCACGCTCAATTTTTCAACAGGTCACGGGTTCGATCTGTTTGGTGTTGGAAAGGTGGAAACAAAGCAATGTATGATGTTTTATATGCCCAAGGTATTCTAAAATACCTCTTTTTTTTTTCTTTTTTTTTTAATGATTAAATTTTAATTTAATCCTTTATGAGAGTTTCATATTTATAATTTATAAATATAATCAATTTAAAATAGAATAGAAAAAACATGTTTGTTGTATAAGTATCTCATCTAAAAATTAAATACTTTATTCATAATGACTGTGATATTGTCCCACGATTTTAAAACGTGTCTTCTATGAAGAGGGTTTAGCCCTACTCCGATGTAACGACCCAGACACACTGCTATATCGCTATATTGTCCTCTTTGGACTTTCCATTTCATGCTTCCCCTCAAGGCTGCTTTCCCTTTCAACACTTTTCCTCAAAGTTTTAAAAATAGTGGAAGGTTTCCACACCCTTATAGATGATGATTTGTTTTCCTCCCCGACCAGACATCACATCCGATTAGTGTCTCGCACGGTCCACTAACAATTGACTTGAACAATTACAATAATTTGAAATAATTTTTGAAAATGTAATTTTTTTGTTATACCTTTAAAAAATAAACTTTTAGATTATGAAAAGTGGTTTTTTAATAAATAAAAAAAATGTTAATCAATAATTAGACAGTGAAGGAAAATGGAATTAATTTTATTTGCTAATTTTGAAAAGAAGAAAATTGTAAAATTATAATATTGTTGAATATAAAATAATGACATTAAATATATTTAGAAGAGGAAGAGTGGGAGGTGAAAAAGGTAATTAAAAAGATGCTTTCCTCGAATGAAGAGAAATTAGGGTTTGAAGAAAAAAGGGAATGGCCAAAATCCAAGCAACTCTTTCTCTGCTTCAGAATCTAATCCCCCCTTTTTGATGTTCCCAAGAAAAGAATTGCCGCCGCCGCCGCCGCCGCCTCTCTTTCCTTATATATACTTTCTTCTTCTTTCTTCCTCCTCCTCCCATTCCAAACATGCCGTTTTCCGGCGGAACAGCGCCGCCCTTCTGCGCCCTTCTCCTCCTCTCTCTACTCGCCGCCCGGAACTGCCTCGCTTCAACCCATCAGGTCTTTTCTTCTGCTCATTTATGCTAATTTTAATTTCCATAATTATATATATCACATTTTTTTTTCTTTAAATATCTTATATGGTTGAGATATTTAGCTTTCGATTAAGCTTAAATACTATGATATGGAATTACTAAGAAAAGTAAATTCAGATTACCTTCCTAATCGAAAGATAAGAACACTCCTCTGACATTCGAATCACCACACAAGTAAGATCGTTCATGTCTAGTTTGAATGATTCTCCTTGATCAAATACTTTCATGCAAAAACATTTGTTTCAGATTCGAATCAACCCCACAAGCAAGATTGAAAATTTTTGTATATTTTTCCGGTCTTGATAACATACATGTCCTTATATAGCCTAACAATAAAAACTCTAGACTTACCGAGGCATTCACATAGTTGTAACTATATTTTATGACCATAATTAGCCACTGTGTATTGGTTAATCTACTCCAAAATTTATAACAATGAAATTTGATATTCAATGGACGACATTTTCTTTACATCTTAGTTAAAGTATATGGTATGATTGATGACTCTTGGTTCACATCAACTATATCTAGATATTTGTTTTCGCTCACCATAGGCAAATATCTTATATATGTTATTCTCATATTAAATTATTGTCAACTAAAATGCAGAAAACTTGCATGTACGTGGTCACTGTCAAAACAACGTGCACAAATGGCGCCGACACGTCGAACCACGTTAGCCTGAGATTCGGGGACACGAATTCGAACGACATTGTCGTCCGACACCTGAATTCGAAGCACGTGAGGAGGGTGGATTCTTTAGAACCACAAGTTCTGGATGACATACCAAGAAAGCCGTTTCAAGCTTGCATGGTGGATCACTTCCAAGTCACTGCAAAATGTGTCACCTCGCCGATTTGTTACCTTTACCTGAAAGTCGCCGGCGCCGACGACTGGCGGCCGGGATTCGTCCATGTTCGGCTGTCGGAGAGCCCACATCTTAGCTCAAATAATTTCTACTTCCGACGTGTACTGCCTCGACACGTTTGGCATGGATTGGACACGTGTCGTGGTGACGTCACCCCTTTTGGCATCAAACGCAGTAGAAAAGTCTTCGCCGCAAGTAAACATTTTTTAAGGCATAAATTCAATTAAATTCCCCAAATGTAATTAAATGTCTTGTTAATATTATTATTATTATTTTTTACTTAAACTGATAACAATTAATGATATATAAGCTGTTGTATATAAATTAATTTTAACCAAATTACCTAATTTAGATTTTTTTAATATAAAATTTATTTATTTTTAATTTAATTAAAAAAAATAGTTGTGAAAAAGAGGAAAGACATTAAAATTACGGAATGATGACGTGGACCAAAAGGACCCCCTCCATTTTGATTAGTAGACTATACGTCGTCGTTTTCTTCTTAATTTAATTTAATTAATTTTAATCCTGATTTCGAAATTTGATGCGAAAATTGAATTGGAATTTTTAAGATCCAATAATTATTAATGAAGCTTCAATTTAAATTAATTTTGCAAAAATAAACATTTTTTTTCTTAATTTTTTTTTCGGGAGAAATTCAAGCTCTAACTATTAAATGCCAATAAAGTCTTGTATTATTAATTTATTTTCTAAAAATTAAATAAACAAATAAATAACATGGCATAATAAAAGTCATTATTTTTCCTAACTTAATTGGAAAATAATAATAAATAAGGAATATAATACACTTTTAAAATTACATAAACATTTTATTACTTAAAGAAATGGAAGGGACGGGGTGAAGACGTAGAAGTCTTCCCCATCTTCATCTTTGGCTCCTATTTTAATCTTCATCCTTATAAAATTTTCTATTCATTTTTGCCGGATTAGAGAAGAGATTTTCCAAATATATATATATATATATATGAATTTATTATATATGTATATGAAGTGAGACAGGGCGTATCAAGGATTTGGGTAGAGTCGCGAATAGGGAATATAATCCCCTCACTGATCCCGACCCCGTTTAGCTTACGGTGAGAAATCTCTTTCCACTCTCTTCCTGATCCCGACCCCGTTTACCCAAACAACATATCGTTTTATTCTTCCTATGTTAGGGACAAGTCCCCTTTTAAAATTTCACCCAATATTATATGGTTAAATGTAAATAGACGTCACTAAATTATATGATTGAATGTTAAATGTCACCTCATTTGTCGAACTCGAGGGGAGTGGGGGAGGAAAATGAAAAAGGAAAAGGAAAAGGAACACTTTTGAGAAAGGTTGAAAGAAAACGTGCAAGGATGGCTTTAATGATGTGATGAAGCTCAAAAAACATAACTTTGGATGTTTTTTTCTACGTGCTTTTGGTTGATATAAGTTATAGTGGAGACTCATTTTATGCCTTTTTATTTTTTATATTAAAGATAGATTCAAAAGCAAATGCATTAATCAATACTTATTAGTCATCCATTACAAACCCTTCTTTTGAATCTATCTAAAAGTAATTTCAATGATTTTAGAATAAATATTTGAAGTAAGCTATTGATTATAAATCATTTTAATATTGGGTTTCACAATGGTAAAAATTATTTAAAATTATTTTTAAAAAATAATTCATATTTATTTTCAGATGTGATTAGAATTATCAATTAAATGAAAAATATTATTTATTTTCAATTATTTTAATACTCAATGATAAAAAGTATAAAAAATAAAATAAAAAAAAACTAAATACAGATATATATTATCATAAACATTTAAATTATAAATATTTAATATTTATATTTATGGATGAATATCACTTTCTAAATTGGTAAAAAAATGAATTTTGTACCGGATTCATAATGATTCGCTTGTTGAGTTTTGTAGATCCAATTAATATTGAAACTTATAATTTGATTAGGTTTAAAAAGTTAGAAAAATATTTTTTTTAATAAAAAAAAGACTTGGTATGTAAATTTAGATAGGCCAATATTGGAAGACGATTATGTTGACTTATGGTGTGTGCATGAAACACGAGAATGTTGAAAGTTCAATCACCTTATGATGGAGAATGACTCATATTTTACGTCAACGTCAAAGATCCCATCAACTAAAACAAATTCATTGTTTTTCTATAAAGGTGTTTAATCACCTTATGATAAGGAACGGACATCAATAACCCATCAACTAAAATAAATCCATTTCTTTCTATAAAGACTCCTCGTGTTTCTAGTTAAACTTTAAACATATTTTCATATTGTTTAAGGAATTAAGATAATTGTGGATCTAGAAATGGGACGTAGTTACATGCAAGATTTAATTGCAAATTTATTCCAAAAATTTAAAATAAATTTTTGAATTTCAATTTTAATGTAAATATAATAAAATTGATTTTCAATCAATTTAATATTTATTAAAATTTACCCAAATGGAAAAGTTTATTAAAATACTTAATTGCATATGAAAAATTTATATTTACACATGTTTATTATACTTTTATTTAATTCTAAAATTATTTTTTTAATTATTTATTGGGGAAGAATTCAGACCAACTTCACTTAATATTTTATTTAATAAATATTATTTGGGTGTAAAATAATTTACACCCAAATAATTGAATATAATCTAAAAAATATCTTAACCAGATGGAATTCATAAACACACCACAAAATTATGATAAATTCATAAAGTGGAATAGGTAAATAAACAATAAAACAGACAACAATTATTACAAAACAGAGAAAGCAGCCAAAGTTGATGGGATATTGTACGAATTACTAAGGTGGATAGTGGAGTCTAAAGCATACCTCTTCGCTTTTATTCTTGTTCATACGGGAACCCAAGCAGCTTATACTTAGTGGTGCGATCCACTTTCCATCTGGTTGGCAATGGCACACACCATCAAAAGATGACAATAACTTTAAAGCATTTGGTGGGGAGGCTTCTAAAAGTTCTCCTTGTGGAAACGGAACCTTGTTGACGTTGAGCCATCGCTGAAATTTTGGCAGTGACCTCGTAATTCCTTCACCGGAGAGTATTCTCCACAGTAAAATACACCTGCAACCACCAACAATTCACATGGTTTTACTCTGCTTTCAAATGGGATTTCGTTTCTCGATGCTTTTGTAATTAAAGGGTTGATCACGGGGTTATAAGCCACGAGAGCTTATGCTCCAAGTGGACAATATCTCCTCTAACGTTGTTATCAAAGTCATGCTTTTAATTTAGCATTGCCAATAGAATCTTCAAATGGCGAATAAAGAAGTTGTGAGCCTCGAATGTGCAGTTAAAAGTGACTCAAGTGTTGAATAAAGAGTGTACTTTGTTCAAAGACTCAAGAAAAGGAGTCGAGCCTCGCTTAAAATGAGGCTGTTCGAGGGCTCCAAAGGAGGCTCTACGGTGTACTTTGTTCGAGGGGAGGATTGTTGAGGATTGTTGGACGAGGAGTAAGTAAGAAATACTATCTCTATTGGTATGAGGCCTTTTAGTGAAACTAAAAGCAAAACCTGAAGAACATGTGCTCAAAATATGCTCAAAGTTGACAATATCATATTAGCTTCATTTCTCACCTATTTCAGAACCTTTGTGTACAGATGCCAACCTTGCGAAAACTTTCTCCCAGTCGGGTCTCCCAAAGTTAGTCCTCGTCTGTGTTAAAAAACATTCAACCCCACATGAGTTTCGTTTGTAAATTTTGGTTTTTGGTAATAAATTGTGTTCGTGATTACCCGACTTCCAGAGAGAACGTCCACTTGTTCTCCTCTAGATTGCTGAATCTTTTGCAGCATGGTTATGAACACGGACCGCACATCTCCTTCCTTGTACACACAGCTTAAGTGGATATGCATTTCTATTATGTTCTGCAATGATTCAAATGAGATAAGATGATTAAATGCTGGTAGATTGGGTGTAGATTTTCTTCTTTAAACTCCAAACACCGACGTACGTCTTGATTATACTCTGCAACATCATCCAAGACACCTTTGAACCAATCAAACGATGCCTGTTCCTTTGTCACCCAATAGAAATATGCTTTCTGTGGGAGCTTTTGAGCCCCGGCCTGCATTTGCTTTGACTAGTTAGTTCCCATAGTAACAGTTCTAATAATATGTATTAACAGTTTGGTTCGCTTCACTTACAGAGTGGGGATCATTTGTTTTGATGTGGTTTAATAAATCTTTCAAAATACTGATCATCGGAGTAGCCCCAATACCAAGGCCTATGAGCAACAGAACGTCATAGTGTTCATAGCTCTGTGCTGGGGCTCCATATGGTCCTTTGATGAGGATCTGAGGGTATTTGTCACTGCAAATACAAAACCATTCATGGATTGAGATGCCTTGCAAAGTAACTCTGAACAAGGCGAATTCTTGCTCACCTTGAATCCGATGGAAGGTAATCAGAATGCGACTGCGTTTCCTGTCTAATAAGTCCCCCCCTTTTACTTGTACTTTCAGGCACACATATCTGTAAAAATGAATGGAGAAAGAGTATAAACTGACCCATATTCGCTAATTAAGGGAATAACCTTGGGTTTATAAGTAAATAATACATCCCCAATAGTATAAGGTCTTTTGGGGAAACTAAGAGCAAAGTCACGAGAGCTTATGCTTAAAATAGATAAATATCATACCATTGGGAGGGTCGTGATTCCTAACACTGAAGAACTCTATACCAAACACAGATAAATAAAGGGCATAAGAGTTTGACAGTAGAAATAAATTGTTACGTTTTCAAATCTCCTTCTGAGCTCTCCTGTCCAGTCTCCTAGTGCCCGTATATGAACACTTAAATAGTCATCTCCTGGAGCAGAAGTGATAGAGAATGGATGCCTGTATCCAGTGAAGAACATCCCAAATCAAGTTATCATACTTCCAAACATCCTAAAACAATCATGAGATATTACCATTCAAATTTGGATATGTCCGGACACTTAACAAACAGATACATTCCACTTTTATACTTGAATCCTTCAGGTTTTTCCAAGTAAAGAGCTAGAACATTCCCATTATAAACTACTCCCTGAAAGACCCAACAAAAACAGAAGAATTTGTTTAGTTTGCTCCGCAATGCCTCCTAGAACACATAAATGGCCTGCAGATATGTTTGTACCTTTTTCACATTGACTTTATGATTTAATTGGTTGAATTTTATAAGAAATCTCTCACACACATACAGAAGTATTGGGACTGCTAGATACATCCATGTCTGCAAATGGAGATTGAGATCATTGTATGAATGTGTGTATTAACGTTAGATTAATCGAAATACGACGACAATAGACGTACCGTTTTCTTGTACCACTCCCGAGTTAGGAATATGAAGTGGCCATGAAGGATGAGTAGGATATAGCACAGAAGAAGCAAATGATGTGCATACCAGAAAGCATTGAAGCCTGCCAAATGTTGAAGCAGTGGCGGCAACTTGTTTTTATGCCTCCTGAATAAAGGAGTTGCCAATGTGAAGCAAAAGAACATTATAACGATCATGAGGATTCCAGTAACACCAGGAACACTTGCAACCAAATCACCGTAAGTCGGCTTCTTGAAGTTGAAATTTGGCCCAAGAGTTGCCATGAATCTGTTCTTTGGGCATGAAATCAACCTTGGAAAATCACATGCCAAATGCATAATGGTATGCAGCCAAGTGGCCACTCCAATGACTGCAGCAACAGCCATGTGGAAGTGAATATGATCATCAAAAGGGAATATGAAGTTGAGAGCGGTGGATCTAAGAGCGGTCAATGTGCCTCTACAGACAAGAAACAGAATGAGAGCCATATTGAATTTGAGAGTCTCAGCTGCTCCTTTTGCAATACTAACACAATAACCCATCACTTCAAATGATCCCTCCTCCATGAACTCTATGAACTTCCAAACAAACAGACCAATATTTATTGCTACCCACAGTGTCAAAACCCAAACTCTTTTCCAATTCCCTATGATAAACTCTTTTGTTTCCCTCGCAAATCTGCTGTTTGGAGTTTTGCATCTTCCTAGAATTGGGGCTAATGCCAGAAGTCTAGATTCTTGGCTCTGAAACTCTGCAGAGTTCCACATTTCCTTCACTAGAGCTTCCATATGCTCAATCTATTCAAAGCCACATCAATTCTTTTAGATGAACTTAAAAGTGAACAGAAAATTTTCATATTCTTTTTGAAGTACCTCAATAAATCCATTGCCGTCTGGATCAAGCTCTTCCATGATCAGAGATGAGAGTTTTCCAGATTGTTTCTTGATGCTTCTCAATTTGTTTGTAGAAGCGCTCCACTCCAATACCGTCTTCACTTCTTCCCGTGAGATTTTCCCGTCGCCATTTTTGTCACACCTGGAAACACACAGGTTCTTCAGAATCCTCGATTCGAGTTCAGAAGAATAAAGTTATAACATATAAGAAAGTTTTTACAAGTCGAAGAATATCCGAAGCCGTGAATGTAGGTCGTCTTTTATCAAATCTTCCCAAAACGCTCTCAACTCTTGCAGTGTAATCCCTTTTTCTGCTTTTATCTGTCTTTTCCTCGCCAATACATCATACAGTTCCGCAGCAAAATCTGTTGATTCCTTTCCCGCTGACTCCTTTTTCGTCCCTAAATCAGAAATAAAACGCGAAATTCCACGATATTAATATCCAAATCAAGAACAAAGAAATGGAGATTAATCACAAAGAGACGGTAAGAATTTCACAAATGCAGGCTCCAAATTTGTCGCGGGAAAGTTTTCCATCACGCGCTTGATGATGAAAACGCTTCTCAATCGTCTTCCACGCTTCCTCTTCTTTTCCGGCAACTGGAACTTCCAGAAACCTCAAAATGTTAAATCCCTTCCGTCGTCCTTCACCTCCAACGACCGGCTGAGAAGGCCCGACGACGGTCTTCTTCACCTCGTCACTGCAATTGCTCTGCTTCGAGTCCGCCTGCTTCACGTCTCTTAGTTCGTCTCTTTTCTCATCAGTCACCATGTGATCGATTTCGACGCTCTCCAGCACGCATTCTGCTGGATTTTCTTTCACCCTGTTTTCATCAGAGAACTCCATCGACTTCTCTTCAGAACAACCAAGAAAAACAACAAAGAAAGGAGTTGCAGAGTTGAAATTTGGAGTTCTAGTTTCAGGCTATGGCGACTTGAAAGATGAACAGAGTGTTCGTAAGAATGAGGAAGATCATAGCCGGCCTGAAAGCAGCGGTCGACTGAGGACGATGAAGAACACAACTATCCGGTGCGAGTTTTTTAGAACTTGAATGTCTTAATAAATAGTTTTAAAATATTCGGTATTGCATTTTTCAAAATAAGAATAATAATAAGAATATTAATAAAAACAATAATCTAAATTTTAACCAAAGTGATTTATTATGGTACTTTATTTTCTTGATACATTGCCATAATAACGTTGTATAATACAAAGTTATAATGGTGTATAAATTTGTCTTAGAAATATAATAATTTAAATTAAAATTATAAAAAGAAAAAACCAAAATAAATATTTTAAACCTACCTAAACTAAATTAATAAAAATATAAAATTCAAATTCAAAATTAAAAAATTTTCACAAATAATAAAAAAAAAAGATTGAGTTTTCTTATTTAATAATAATTTTAATCTATGACGTAATCTAATTCAAATTTGTTTAATGTAATATTTATTTAGTTGTAAGTAAATTATCTTTAAATGTATATCTTTATTTTTTCATATTTGTACTATGAACTTTGAACGTAGCCATATCTTTAATAAGAATATAACAATAGTCGATAATAAAATAAAATAAAATACAATTTCAAATCGATGCCAACCTTATTTTTAAAAAGTACTGAGTAAGAATATATATATATATATATATATATATATATATTATTTGAATTATGCTCGTTTAAATTTCTATTTATTTTATTTTATGATATTTTAATGTAATATGCCTATTTTAAAACATGTTTTTCATTCCGCTAATGGTGTCATTGTTATTGAGGGAGAACAATGTACACGGATGTGGTGTTTATAACACAGTATATTTCATTAACTGATTTTTAATTAGGTCAAAAAAAGATTAGAAACACATGAATCGAGTTCGCTCGATAAGTATCCCATATAAGGTAGACTACGAAATTTGGAATTTAATATAATTTTTCTAGTATTTAAATTTATTTGGTAGGAAGCTCCAACCTATTTATTTATTTGTTTCCAGACCTAAATTAATAATAGAATTAGAAGGATATATATATATATATATATATATATATATATATCATTTGAAACGAAACGACGTCGTCGAAGGGGATGTGATGATTTGAGATCCAACGGTGAGAGTGGGAAAGATGGGCTGCCCGTGACCGTGCCCGTCAGTCGGAATGGCGATGCCCGAGTTGACTCAGTGGTCTCTGGTGTGTGTGTGTGTGTGTCTGTGAGCCCTAAGCTCTTCTTTTCTCTGATGCTATTGCTATCTTCGTCGACACCAATTCCAACTCCCTCGCGCTTTCTCTTTCTTCTGCCCCTTTTCATCTTTTCCACTTCTCCTCTTCTTCTTCTTCTTCTTCCTCGCAATCCGACGTTCCTTCTCCGTCCACGTCATCTTCGTCTTCTTCAATCCTTTTCGACCTGCTCTTCGTCTCCTTCAACACGGTTATATATATATAAAATATATATATACACAACCGCCTTCTGGCTAGGGTTTCCATTACTTTTTTTTTTTTTTTTTAATGTTTTCGCGATTTCTTTTCTCTTTTGGTGCCTTCCGATTTCCGCTATGGCTTCTTTGGATATCATCAACAAGTTAATCTAATCGCGAATGAGGTATTTATTTATTTATTTATTTTCTAAATTTTTGTTGCTTTTGCTTTGATGTTTCTAAATTCGTTTTTTTTTTCCCTCTTTATTTTGAGCGTTATAATTGCTGTTTAGGGTCTAGACTTGGTTATGTTCCGGTTTGGAGTTCTTGGAATTTGATAGTCGGAGGAGTTAATTCGGTTTTTGTTCTGTGTTGTCTTAGGATTGATTTCGGTTAAAATAAATGGTCCATGGCTATTGAGAAGAACAATTTTAAGGTTTCGAGGTTTGACTATGAGTTTTCACCTGGGAGTAAGAAGAGCATATCCAGTGACGAGGATGAGCTTCACAGACATACCTCTGCTGTGGAGTCTGATGATGATGATGATGAGATTAATGATGTAGATTCTGGGGCAGGGTCTGATGATTATGATACGCTGGAATGGGGAGAGGCAGGGGTGGAATTCTGTCATGTTGATAATCAAACTTGCAGCATTCCTCTTGAGCTGTATGATCTTTCGGGTTTGGAAGATATATTGTCTGTTGATGTGTGGAATGAATGCCTCAGCGACGAGGAGCGGTTTAACCTCTCTAAGTTCCTCCCAGATATGGACCAAGAGACGTATATGCTCACGCTAAAAGAGCTTTTTACGGGTAGCAACTTCCATTTTGGAAGCCCAATAAAGATGTTATTTAGCATGTTGAAGGGGGGTTTATGTGAGCCGAGAGTTGCGCTTTATCGTCATGGTCTGAAATTTTTCCAAAGGCGGCAACACTATCATCTTCTGAGGAAGCATCAGAACAATATGATTAGCAGCCTTTGTCGGATGAGAGATGATTGGCTTAACTGTAGAGGATACAGCATGGAAGAGAGGCTCCGTGTCTTAAATCTTACGAGAAGTCAGAAAAGTTTCGATTATGAGAGGATCGATGGTTTAGAAACTGACTCGTCAGATAGAGTATCAGGGGAAGGATTTCGGAGAAGATTCAAGGACAAGAAAGTGGCTTCTAAATTGCACAACTTTTCTTCATATAATGCAAGTTCTGACTTAGATTTTCCTTTAGGGGGTCGGTTGACTAATCTTGAAGCACCTGAATATGGAAAGCAGAATTCCAAGGGTATTTTTAAGTTGGTCGGATCCAAGTTTCCTTCTCTGATAGAACCTATGGTCAGCCTCCCATCAGCTTATCACGATTTAGATATTAACTCAACGCCCTATAGTTCTATAGGTGATCTCCCTCAACGGAGAAAGGTAGGTGGATATGACTCAGGCCCAATGCTTAGGATAAGGGACGAGACAAGGATCAGTAATGCTACTAAAGAAATGACCAACAGAAAGGGTACCCCACGGGATCTAAGGGCCCCACCCGGTGGTGGGATGGAGAAGGGGGTTCTAGAAGCTAGTAAGAGATATGAGGCTTTGAGGGGTAACATTTTTGACAATTTCATTGGACTTCCTTTGTCATCAAAAGGTGATTTATATGGCAGGAACAAGAATGTGAATTTGGTTCCAAAGAGGAGTGTTGTGGCTGAAAAGCCAGTCAGTATGAGGTCATCCTACAATCCTTCCAAAAAAGCCCAGTCAATTAGGGATCAGACTAAATCTATGAAGGGCGACATTTCTCAGCCTCCACATAAAAGTACTAAAGTTGACTCCGAAGGTCGTGCTGGTTCACTCCGACATAACAAGACACGAGGGAAGTCTTTTGTGACGGATCCACTGCTTAAAAATGCTGACCGGAGCATTAGGGGCAAGAACTGGAAGACTGCTATGGAGCCTACTGATCTTAACTACAAAGCGTATAGATCTCCCTCTCCTCAGATAAATGAGGGACATGTACCCTCTGAATTAAGAGCTAAACCTTCACAAAAGAAAACTAAAGGAAGATTTGTCCAGAAAATGGGATCAGACCCTGCTTCCTCCAAAGGAAACAAAAAGTTCGTTAGAGGCGAAGAAACTGAATCGGAATCATCTGAGCAGTTTGAAGATGATGAGGATGGCAATCCAATATTGAGGAGCAAGTTGGCCTATCCCAGTGTAATGGAAATTTCACAGTTTTCGTCTTTGAATTCTAGTTTAGAAGCTAAAAAGGTCAAGTACGTCAAAAAAGATATAAAGGAGCACATTGGTACTCTTGATCCAATATCATACTCCAAAAAGATGGTTAATAAATCTCCTCAACATGGATATGCCTTAAGTGGAGTTAACACTATGAATACAAGGCTGGGGAAGATTCAAGAGTCTGGTTCTTTCCAAGACCTATCCTCTAAAGTGTCAGAAAAGAACTACCTCCCAGTTTTGGATACATTCAGTGATGATGAAGATGATGATGTGAAGAAAAATTCCAAAATGTTTAATAATGGTCGATTGCAATCAGAATCTAGCAAAAGATCACGTAAATCCTCATCTAAGTCCTTCACTGCAGAGGGAAAACGGAAAGGCAGGGGTAATCATGATCTTTCTGCAATGCAGTCGAGAAATCTTTACGACTATGCTGTTGACGAGGAAGATAATTCCAACGAGATGAGATTATTTGAAGATGATTATGGAGCTGATAGATTTCCACAGGCAGGTTTGCAAAGTGAATCATTTATGGGTATTTCCAGTGAAAGACCTAATGGTTCCCTACTAGGATGTAACTCAGTAAAGAAGAAAAGGAAAGTGAAGGGGAATGTGACAGAAATGGATAAAAAGGATGAAGGTGAATTGCAGAGTGACACCCTCCAACAAGTTAATGATTCCACTCCATTGAAGAAGAAGAAGAAGAAGAGGCAGAAGGCGGACGGTTGTAGTTCTGATGTGGGAAGATCTGAGCCTCCCGCTACAGAAATGGGGACAGTGGATATGGAGCAGGAAACCAAGCCTCAGAGAAATTCGTTCCTGTTGATTACACCTACGGTTCACACTGGCTTTTCATTCTCCATCATGCATCTTCTTACTGCAGTTCGCCTGGCTACGATTACTCCACTTCCCGAAGATATGTTAGAACCCATTAAGGAGAAGAAGAAACGGCATGAGGGTGACTTCGCATTAGATCTTTCTCATGATAATAAGGCAGATGTAAATAACTTAGAACAGGCTGAGGAAGTAAATGTTCCTTCGCTAACAGTTCAAGAGATAGTAGATCGTGTGAAATCTAACCCTGGGGATCCTAGCATTCTCGAGACGCAAGAACCACTTTTGGATTTGGTGAGAGGGGTTCTGAAGATATTTTCATCAAAAACTGCTCCTTTGGGAGCAAAGGGCTGGAAGATGCTAGCAATTTATGAAAAATCAACAAAAACATGGTCATGGATTGGCCCAGTTTCTCGAAGTTCGTCAGATTACGAGGCCATTGAAGAGGCAGCATCACCTGAAGCTTGGGGTCTTCCCCACAAGATGCTTGTTAAGTTGGTAGACTCATTTGCCAATTGGCTTAAAAGTGGTCAAGAAACTCTTCAACTAATAGGAAGTCTTCCTGCACCACCTGCCTCTTTAATGCAGTTTAACGTAGATGAGAAAGAAAGGTTTAGGGACTTGAGGGCTCAGAAGAGTCTTAATACTATTAGCTCTAGTACTGAAGAGGTGAGGGATTATTTTCGTCGGGAAGAAGTACTAAGGTACTCAATTCCCGATCGTGCTTTCTCTTACACAGCAGCTGATGGTAAAAAGTCCATTGTTGCTCCCTTAAGAAGGGGTGGTGGCAAGCCTACATCTAAGGCACGGGACCATTTCATGCTGAAGAAAGATCGCCCTCCACACGTCACGATTCTTTGTCTTGTGAGAGATGCTACTGCACGATTGCCAGGAAGTATTGGCACCAGAGCAGATGTGTGTACGTTGATAAGAGATTCACAATATGTTATGGAAGATGTATCTGATGCACAAGTTAATCAAGTTGTTAGTGGCGCATTGGACAGATTACATTATGAACGCGATCCTTGCGTGCAATTTGATGGTGAAAGAAAATTGTGGGTTTATTTGCATAGAGAACGCGAGGAAGAAGATTTTGAGGATGATGGTACTTCATCTACTAAGAAATGGAGGAGACCCAAAAAAGATGTCATTGACCAATCATCTGATCATGGACTTGTGACAGTAGCTTATCATGCATCTGGAGAAAACATTGGATATGACATTTGCTCCGAGCTCAACACAGATCCCCCGTGTATCGATGATGTTAAAGGAACCGAACAAATTTACGGTGATGTGAGGCAAGTTGTGGAGCATGACATAGATAACAATCATGGGTCTGATCATGACGAGATGTCTCAAAGTCCACAGGTTATGAAGGCTTCTAATCCTATGGAAGAGACCAAGTTGATATGTCAAGAAAATTCCACGAACGAAGATTTTGACGATGAAGCATTTGGGGGACAAAGCCCGGTTGGATTCCTACGTGTGAGCATATCATAATAATTACTGCAGGTAGTCGTCGATCTGGTATTAACTTTTGAAATTCGGATGTCATATACCGTGAATTAGAGCGTCCTTAGTATTTAATGTTATTGACTGAATATTTGCTTTCTACATGGTATGCATTGTTTTGGTAGTGGGCGTATCTGTTTTTAATTTTCCATTATAAGGTTATTTTTTCCCCTATTAGTCGAATGGATTTCTTATTTAGACGAAAGAAGATCTTTGAGGTAAATTTAGTAAATTATTGAAGTAAAAAAGAACGAAAATTTACATTGTGAAGTTGTAGATAATTCAAGTTATATCTGTGTGTTGATTTACTGCTTATACGTGTCTTTCATGAAGAATAAGAAATTATGCTCGAGTAAGATGTTGTTTAGGTAGAGTTAAAATGCAAGAGTGATTTGCCAGACAAGATATGTTCTTAACTTGCTCGGATGCTGGGCTCCGAAGGGAGGTGGATTGTGAGGTCCCATGTCGGCTGGGGAGGAGAACGAAACATTGTTTATAAAGGTGTGGAAATCTCTCTCTAGCAGACGTGTTTTAAAAATCGGAAGCCCAAAAAGGAAAGTCCAAAGACGACAATATTAGATAGCGGTAGGCTTGGGTCGTTACACTTGTCACGTGTGAGCATGGAGTGGCATTAAACTTGTTATCTTATTAAGCTGGCAGAAGATTATTTTGATTATGGGAAAGGTTCTTTTCGGATAAGAAGACAGCAATGAGTTAGATATAAATGTAAAATGTTGGAACTCGTAGATGTGCCACTGAATATGCTTACTGTTTAACTTCTAACAAAGCTTCCACTTGTTTATGTTGTGCAGAGCTAATTTGTATTGTTCCGGTGAGGCTTGTGACAGAATGAAGGCCGCATTATTTTTGCATTTTACAAGTGTGTATATTGATTGTTCTTGGTGCACGATAGCACAGAAGTGCATCTAAAGCTTAACACAATTGCCTTGACAATGTCTAGCACAGGTATATTGATCTTTTTTTTTTAAGTGTAAATGAGAAAACAGGCCAAGTTCATAAATTTGGTTGGTCTTCTACATATTTATATTAATTAGATGCAGAAAAGGAAATTCTTTTGCTCCCATGCTTGTATTGAAGCTGCAAAATCAAAGAGATATCAGAAGCTGTAGATACTCATCGCCAGCCATTTACAAATAAAAACATGAAAAGATAGATAGGCATTTGAAAGCATGATGATCAAAGCCAAATTAGTCAGGTATGATGAACTTATCTCCCTCCAAGTTTGTATGTTTTTGTGTAGTGTTGCTGACAGGTGCTTTCTTTATAAAGGTGTGGAAACTTCTCCCTAGCATACGCGTTTTAATAACTTCGAGGGGAAGCCCGAAAGGGAAAACCCAAAAAGGACAGTATCTCCTAGCGGTGAGCTTGGGCTTGGGCTGTTTCATTTGATTTGATATAATTTCTGACATCGATGTGTCTAAATCCAAAGCTAGATTCCATTCATATCACCAACTCACAAGGTAAAATGGAAGAATTCTATTAGATGGATTTAAAGAAAAACGCTCACAATATAGGAATATATATCCATATGAGCTTATTAGTGAATAAGGTATCTTTTAAGAGATTGAGTATGCTCAAATTTCTCCTATTCACATATGATGTATTATATAAAGGTAGGGAAAATGTATTTTTGGTCGTTGAAGTTTGAGTTTACTATCTATTTGGTGATTGAATGCTTTGTAGAAGATAATTTTAGTCTCCGAGATTGAAGGATGTTTGTGATCGTTAGTTGTCCAACGAAGAGGTCGTATGGCTACTTTGTTAAGTTGGGAACGCTATGATAATATTTCTTTTACTAACTAGACTTTCTCTCTCTCTCTCTCCTTTCCTTTTATCTTCTAATAGTTTACTGATACTACCATCACCAAGCTCCCTTCCATTGGACCATCGGAGGTCTTTTTAGTTCATGGATGATCACTGAGGGGAGGCTCTCATTTGTTCCAAACTCTGAAGCTTCGAATCTGGAATCATATGGAACAAAGTGATGGTTTGTTCATGAAGGGATCCTCGGTGATTGAAGACCATCAAGTACGACGATGGCGACAACAACATTCATAGCTGAATGACAATAGCTTTCACTAGAGATGGGACGAGAAAAAGATAGGAAGATTTTAGTCAACGAAAAGACCTCAAATTGATTGTCCGATGCCTTTTCGTTAGTCAACTAACTATCAAATGAACCTTGATCACTTTAAACAATTTTTCGAGTATACTCAAAAGATAAAATAAACAATATTGTTTCTCAATTTACGTTCGAAAATTTGATTGATTGTTGCGTATTTGTTTTGAAGAACAAAGTTTATGTTCTTTAAGAGGAAAAGAAATGAAACAATAAAACAAGTTGATTGAAATTATGGTCTACAAATGGGAAAGTTTAATTCAAAATTGTGATGAACTCCATTTTCTCCATATTCGTTGATGGGTGCCCCATGATTGATTGAAGACTGACAAAACTCCCAAAGGAAAGTGAAATATTTAGAGTTCATTCACAATATTATTTCAAAAAGCATTGAGTTCTTCACTTTTTCATGACAATGACTCTTATTCTTCTTCCTTATCTTTTATGGCTTCGACTCGAAATGATTCCTCAACTCACTCGGTTCTCGACTCGACTTAGTTTTAAATCATACGCAATTAAATGGGTATCTATCTCGAAACGCCTTTAATTCCGACTAAAATTACCTGTGTTTTTTGTTTCCATTTCCTGATATGGGCATCTCTAAAATTGCCTTTCGAACATATTGGTTGGAGCTGCTGAACAAAATTTTCGAAGCTTTCTTCCTCATAGAGGCCCCCCATGGAAGTGGGCTGTACTGTTACAACTTCATTTCTAAGTTTGAATTCCAATTTTTTCTTCATAAAGAAACCTTTTTTTACCTGCAAGATTCGAGCTTCCATTTTCGTCTTCCTTTCGAGACCCGTTAAATAAACATTTGATCTTTTAGTCAATGATATACGTCTTATTCAATTGAGTTATTTTCAGAACGTGTATATTAATTTTCGTCTTCCTTTATAAGACCCATTAAATAAACAGAACAGCCTTCCTTTATAAGATCCATTAAATAAACAAAACAAATTCAAACCTCTGATCTTTTGAAATTTCATCTTCCTTTGTAAGACCCATTAAATAAGCAAAACAAATTCATCAATGATATACGTTTTAAATAATTGAGTTATTTTAAGGTGTATATCAATTCTCATTTTTTGAGTTATTTCCATAAGATGTATATCAATTCTCATTTTTTTTGCAAGACCCAGTAAATAAACAAAACATTTTTTTCTTGCAAAACCCAATAAATAAACAAAACATATGATCTGATCTTTTGGTCAATGATATACGTCTTAACCAGTTGAGTTATTCTCAAAATATGATATACGTCTTAACCAATTGAGTTATTCTCAAAATATGTATTACTTTAAACGTAATTGGCACATACACAAAGTTTAAATGTCGATGGTTTTTGTATTGAAAAAATAATTTTTCATCCAAACAACTTATAGTTTTGTTCAAAATAAACAGTATTTTTCTGTAGTATTATATATATTCTAAATAGTTAGGAAAAAAAAGTCAACGATATAAAAAATATGAGTTTTTTCCGAAGACAAAACAATAATAATAATAATAATAAATACGTGGCGTCATATTCCACGTCATCATCCGAGCTCGCGTGGTACCATAAGTACTCCCTCAATGGCGCATTTGCAATCTCCAACTCTCTCGAGACTCCCCTTCCCCTTCACGCACACTCTGATCTTATTCTTTCTTAAACTCACGCGCCGCCGTCCCAATGACCATCTCCCACTTTCTCTCCGCCGCCTCGCATTCCTCCACCGACACCGCCGGTGTTGATTTTGACTGGTTACCCGGTTCCTCCATCAAGCAATGGAACTCTGAACTTCCCGACAGCTGGGGCGACGGTTCACTGACTTCACCGCCGCAACCCCAAACAATTCATCCACCAACTAACAATATTCTATTTCACCATACTTTTAGCCTCCTCAACCCTTCTCTCAAAACCAATGGCCTTCTTCAACAAACTGGTTCGTCGCCGTCGCCGTCGCTCTCCTCCGATAACGTCCTACACAAGCTATCCCTTCCCGCCCGTGATTTTCAGGTGAGAGGTTTATCATCACTTCAAGATGACACAATTAAACATCATTCCAGAACATGAAACAGTTGATTATTTCCAATAATACAATAATTTATTCAAGACTAAAATTTAAAATCCAAAAAATGAGCCGTCACATACCCTTTTTCATTTAATAAATGAGTCAAAAAGTCACATTATTATTTCAGTTTTTTTTCAAATAATTTCTCCTATTAATGGAAACATTCAACTATGATGCTCAACCTCCATGCAAAGGATCATTGAAAAGGCTTGGCTTTTCAAGAACCCAAAGAGTTCTTTTTTGTTTTTGGGTCTCGAGTATAATATTTAAATGATTAAATGGGGTATGAATGATAAATTTAAAAATGGGTATGGCAGAGGAATAATCAGAGAGCAGAGAGTCCAGTTTCATGTGAAAGTAGCATCGCCATTGAAGGGATGAGCAGAGCTTGTAGGTACAGTCCAGAAGAGAAGAAGGAGAGAATTCAAAGGTATAGGAGCAAAAGAAACCAGAGGAACTTCAACAAGAAGATTAAGGTTTTTTTTTTTTTTTTTTTTTTTTTTTGTTCTCTCTTATATTCTTCTTTATCTTACCCTACTTGAAATTATGAAATAATTCTAAAGAATAATTCATCTCTTATTGTACCTACATATAATTTGATAGATTCTATATGCCAACAACCATAAAGTTAGTAATTGGAAAGATAATTTCTAACTTTATAGTATAAATATAATAATTCAAATAATTTAACTGCATATAGTTTGATTCTTCACTAAAATAAGTAATTTATGCAAAGTTATTGAGTAATGTTCGTATAGTTTTCAATTTCATCCTTCATCTTTTTGCTTTTGTCATTCAAACTACACTTTTTTATTTGGATGGTAACCATGGAAAAGGAAGATTTTAAAACTATCCCAAAATTGGTCTAAAAAGCAAAGAAAACATTTGTAGAATCACAAATGACAAACAATCAATCAATCAATCTACTTCATATCTTCGCACCATGATAATAATTTTGTAGGTTTTGTTCGTATGGCTCATTGTTTTCCAAAAATTCTCATAATATTATTTGTGTTCTTGAAGTATGCTTGTAGGAAGTCATTGGCCGATAGTCGACCAAGGATTAGAGGACGATTTGCAAAGTACAACGATGACGTTGCAAAGAATTATCCAGAGCAATGGAGTCATGGGCAAGAGGAAGAACAAGGAGAAGAAGAAGAAGAAGAGGCAAATTGTGATGATAATTGGATCAAGTACTTTGTAGATGCATATTCTACGAATCTTATTCCATGAATCTCTCAAAAGCAAAAAATAATAATGTAGCTCTAGTTGCAATCGGCCTCTTCCATTTTGACCATCTTTCAGTTGCGTGAGAGTTTTACATTACTTATTTAGGCTTCTCTCTCTCTTTTCTTTTTCTATGTATGGAACCCAAAGTTTGAGTTAGCTCTAACTATATTTGTATTAATAATGGTGAAGGGTAATAATTATAATATTTAATCGATAATGGAGTTCGTTTTCATCTTTTTTGTGAAAAGGATTTGACATAGATTGGGATGGACATGGGCAGGCTGAAAGATTGGGCGGGCCGTTTATGGGGATTGATTCGAGGTGTGTTTTAGTGCTGGGGATAAACGCCAAGATAAGTCAAAAAGGTGGAGAGAATTTCAGTCATTGTCATTTGGTAAGACAACAACAAAAGGGATTGCAACTTAGTTTGGTGACAGTCGCCATCTTCACAATATTAGGTTCTTTCCATATTCTATTCTATACGGCCTTCAATAAAAGTTGCTACCTAGCTTATTCAGTACACTATTAAAGAAACTTACAGATAAATGGGAATGATCGTGAGTTTATAAGAATGATCATGGATTTATAAGTAAAGGAATACATCTCCATTGGTACGAGGCATTTTGGGAAATCCAAAAGCAAAGCCACGAAAGCTTATACTCAAAGTGACAATATCATACCATTGTGGAGAATCGTGATTCCATTTAAAAAAAGGTAATGTAATATCATAAATAGGATGATTTATTAGTTCACTATTCAAAGCAATAAATACTCACATGTATGATTCCATTTCCACCAATGAAGTTCTATGATGCCTCCGTTCGGCTTCACAAGCAGTGAGGAAGGTTCATGAAGTTTCAAGCCACACAGTTGGATCCCGGTGGGCCATTTGGTTTGGACTCTGTAATGAGCTCAAACTAACTTCTTCACCTAAACACTCAAATATTTTTTTGAGGAGAAAAAAGGAGCAACCTTTTGAAACTCGATAGTGAAGAATAATTCGTTGAGACTAATTGGTGCAAAATGTATATCCAGCTATTATAAACAAAATTGAATATATCAATCGAGTAAACCCGAAGAAATATTACTGCTAGCTTTTAGTTTTGCGGACCTTCTTGAAGAACAGAGGATTGATTAAGCGCTTGAATGGAAGCAATAGCGCTGGTCGATGTCTCCTCCGTTTTGATCGGTATTTCTCTGAATATGTTTCCTGAACTCGCTTGAAAACCTTAGGATTGGTTAACCGCAGAAGCTTTAATGCTGGATGATGTTGATGTCTCTTTCGTTTTGCACGACATGTCCCTGCATTTATTAGTTTCAAAAGAAAAAAAAAATCAAGCAATTGATGGAAACTTGACTCGGTTTTCATAGTTAACAGAATCAAATAGGATATAAACAGGGTTCAATCAAAATGGAGGTTTTAGTTAGTGTATCCCAAACTAAAAGAGTTGGGTATAAGAGAGATAATCTGTGGAGTTGCAACATAAAAGTGAGCCTCCATGTCTTAAATCTCAGTGAGAATTAGGTACCTGTTGACATTACGCCAGATATAGATTGATCTAGAGGTGGAGGTTTGATCTGAGGGTCAGCTTCTCCACTTTTTTGCTCTTCCATTAACACCTCGGATGTTTGTTGCCGAATTGAGATCAAATAATCATCTTTTATATCAATCATACAAGAACTAAGAGGAGAAACCCGATCCTCGACTGCTGCTACATCCATAGGCTCCCCAAGTCTTGCACCAACTAAACATTCTTCAGCTGTAAATGAACCATCTACTACCGTAGTCATATTCTTTGGATTTTCTGAAACCAAATTAGTTGAACTTTTGTCCCTCAACACACTTTCTAAACCAGACAATGTATCAGAACTTTTTAAGCAATACTCATGCCGGTGAGAAGCAACATCCTCTGACATTGTAAAAGCTTCTTTTCCATCATTTATTGAAATAACATCTAATACATCTCTGGTAGATGTAGGATAATGCACAAACACATTTGTGGATGCTACATTTAACTCGCTACTGGGTAGAGGGTTTTGTGGTTGCACATTATCAATGTCCATTCCAATAGGTTTTTCCTGCATTGAGGCCTTGGGCTGCACAATTTCTTCAACAGTGCATTTGTCTTCGTCAGAATTACTTCGAACTTTTCCTGCATCACCAGAGCATTGACGATTGGATGTAGAACAATGTTTACCATCAAGAGGACAGGACTGTTGAATTACTCCATTTGCTGCAATTGGTGGCTCATTGGCATCAACAACATGCGATGAGCCTCTGTTATCATTCAACGACACTTTTTCCTCAGAGCCTGATGTTACATTCTTGACTAGAAAACCTTGTGGAGGCATGTTGTCAATGACTGAAGTGAAATCAAGAGGACAGGACAGTTGAATTACTCCATTTACTGCAATTGGTGGCTCAATGGCATCAACAACATGCGACGAGCCTCTGTTATCATTCAACGACACTTTTGCCTCATAGCCTGATATTACATTCTTGACTAGAAAACCTTGTGGAGGCGTGTTGTCAATGACTGAAGTGAAATCAATGGCTTTCACAGTTTTTGATTTATTAGAGGCAGCAAAAGATTGTGCTATATCATCCAATAGCAAATCACCTTCGCCACTTGACACAGGATCCCATTTGAACAAATCCACTGACCAAGGGTCATTCGGATCTAACTTATCATCTGATGATATCCTTTCAACTCGAATCGTCTCCTTGTAGAACTGCTTTCTCTTTAAAGCATTAGCTATAAGATTGCTGAAATGCAGTACATATAAAAACACGTAAATATTCATGGTATTTTTCTCAAACTACAAGGTTTTTTTTTTTTAATTCTTTTCAAAGACTCATACCGACAATTTTTTGAAACAGCAGCTTTTGCTCGCTCCATAGAGACACCAAGCAAGGATGACAAGTTTGCAACATCAAAAGGTCCTCTAATTTCATTTACAGAAGAGGCAGCACTAGATAATATGAGATTCTTTCCTTTTGTCCAATCCACCAAGACCTGAAAGTTTAACAAGCTAAAGGTCAGATGATAACACAAGCTCGTTCACGATAAGAAATAAGTGTCATTCGTAAACAAAAACAAGTAAATAACACCAAGTATAATACAAAGATCTAGAGCATAACACTTCTAGAAGACCACTTGTCCACTACAGCTTCCTATGGACACCCTCTTTTTGAGGAGCATAATATTAGAAAGATTTGTCCGAACACACTTTGGATCCCAAAATAAGCATTAATAACAGGTAGTCCAGATATGGATTTTTGCCATCTAACTTTCACGACATCGTCCCTGGGAATGAACTAGAACCTTGATGCTTTATTCTAACCTTAGTAGTGGATATCATTTGCCTCCTTGCATGAACGTCTGAAAGAAGATCAGAGTACATAATTTCAAAGTAAACTCCACGCTGTGAGAAAAAAAGAACATCGCCAGAATATATAAGTCAGTCGCCACTGATCAAAAGAATGATACATTTATTTATGCCATAATAATTCAAGTAAAACAAAACACGAAAGATCAATAATTGACAAACCTGAATTGCAGATTTTATGTGACCTTGCTTCAACCTGAAAGGCAGTTTCTCCGCAAAATCAATTGCAATAATGTCTATCTACGTGATGAAAAACACAGTTAATATGACTAAATTGTGAAAGACAATGGAAAGTATGATAAGTTCGAATTAGGAAAAAAAAATGCAAATAGGATTACTAGCTTATGCAAGTAGTATTGTCTCTCAACTCCAAACAAGATCATCGAACAATCTAAGCAAATTGCTAGATTTCACAATAACAAAACAAAATAAACACAAAAATAAATCCGACAAACCTCCAATTTCTCACAAGCCTGCTCAAAAGCATTCTGATTAAGAGGCTTCACAGCAATCAAATCGTAGGTCTTCAGAATGAGGTTGCCAGAATTGACTGCCAGAATCTCCTGCAAACTATTGATACAAATAGTAAGACGCGTGTACTGACGGAAAGGAGAGGACCGCGGGACGCCGAGAAGATTGCGGTGGAACTCCAACGAGGCAGAGAAGGTTGGAAGGATACTTTGAAGTGATGAAACATTAAGGAGAGGAATAGTACAACGGTCCTTATCAGACATCACCCCTTTGATCGTACGGTTGTAGGCGATTCCGGAGTAGCCGAGCTCCATCAGTTTGGCCACAATCTTGATGCGATTAACCCTAATTGAAGATGAAGACGAGTGCTCATCGTAAGGAAGATTGAGATCGAAGAAACCCATGGCGATGGAGGAGAGACAGCTTAGAACTGATGAAGCTCAGGGTTTAAGCAGGAAGAACTCAAGAAACGCTCTCCATCGTTGAGGCGCCCCCGAACTGAAGGGTTTAACTGATGTGAACGAAACTCCTGAAATCGGACATAATGGACTTGGGCGGCCCGAAACTGTCACAATTGGGCCAATTATAGGCCCATAAGCCCAAAAAAGGACGTGATATCTGTGATTGGGCTTCCAGAGATCCGACTAGCAAGAAAAATACCGACCCGAAATTCCCAATTCTAAATAAAATTAATAAATACTTAAACTTTTAATTTTATTTATAATAAATTTTTAAAAAATTTAAAAATATTTATAAATCTTTGATTTTTCCTATTTTATTAATAAATTCTTCAGATTTCAATTTTGTATATAATAAATTTTTTTTATTTATTCAAAAAATTTAAAATATAAAAATCCAAATAAACAAAAAATAAAAAATTAATGTATTATTAAACATAAAATTAAATTTTATATTTAACGAAGTAATTAATTTAAAAATAATTCTAAATATTTTAAACTCGAAAGGGTAGGGATTAAATTGTAATTTAACTTTTTTATATATATATAAAATCTAATTAGGATGGTAAATGCCCAATTTTGTGTCCAATTATTACAATGGAAATTGAACTAATTATTAGTATTACTACGTAAAGCTTGCTCCTAATGTAACATAAGATTGGCCCATTACCATAATTAAAATAAATAAATAAAGGTTGGTCCATTAGCAAACTTTACTTTTTTAACAAAATTTAATAAATCTCCTTTTTTGTGCTATCACATAATTAAAACCCTCCCATCTATAACCATTATATTAACTCTTCTTTAAATAATATGAAATTGAGTGTGTTATCGACTTACATGAAATATGCTACTCGTGCTTGTGTTATTGTATCAAACCCAGACACCAGGCGGTGTGTCAGCGAGGACAAGCGGTGAACTATGAGATCTCACATCGGTCAGATAAGAGAACGAAACGAAACATTCCTTATAAGGCCGTAGAAATCCTCCCTAACAAACGCATTCTAAAACCGTGAGACTGACAGCGATACATAACGAGTCAAATGAGACAATATCTACTAACATTGGGCTTAGATTGTTATAGAGCACTCCATAGGAACCATGTATCTTGAGACTATTTCTTTTTTGCATGTCCTAACACAAGGTTAGAATTATAGCTCTTTCAAAATGTTATCTCATCAATGGCTCGAGACCATCCTCCCTCGAGAAGGGGGTCTTCCCCCTTCTTCACCATCCGCTTAATATGGGTAGGAAAGTCCCGAGTCTAAAACTTCATTGGTCTTCCTATCTAAGTTATATATAAATATAGGAGCCAAAACATTAAAGTTGATTCTCGAGGCAGGTCCAAATTTTCAACCAAACTCGATATATTTAGTATAAAGTTCACTACTCTCGATTGATCCAACCCGAGCAACCCGTGTAAAATAGTGTAAGAAATTCCAAAAAAAAAAAGCCCAAGTTGTTTGGTAGGAGTTGATTGAGAGGTTACATAGAAGCAAAGCAATAGGTATAATTTGTAAGTATAAATGAAGAAAATGAAAGCAGAAACAGAGCATAGGCACTCCCATCATTACTCGCTATCAGTACTCATTTTCCTTTGCTTAAAATGTTCGCAACCTCTTCACTTATTATCTTTTTATTTTTTTTAATCTACTCCCCCTACTAAAATTATAATTTTACTTTTTAACTTTTTAACTGCTTCTAGTAAAAGTTAAATTTAAAAAATTACCTTAATATTAAATTATATTAATAAATTTAGAATTAAATGAGAAAAGGGTTATAATTTAGAATTAAATACAAAATAAATAACAGTTGTTGAATATGTGAGTGCCTACGTGTCAGTAAGACTAAGTCAAACTCCAAATCATGTAAATATTTTTTTGAAATTAATTTTATTTCGTAATTAATAATTACTGCTTTAAATAAATTTTATAGGTTTAGTTTGACTCAAATATCTAATTATGGTTTAATTTTTTTAAAAATATATTTGATAAATAATTTTAAATGGTGAGGATGAAATTAAAATAAAGTTTAAAGGGAAATGTAATTTAATGGAAATGAAAATGAAATTAAGGGAAATTTCATTTAAAGGGACCACCAAATCATGCCGAATTGTAGCTCGAACCCATCCGTTTTTATTTTTATTTATTTAATTTTTTTATCTATAAATAAAACCGTAACTAATTTCACAAATCCCTAAACTCTTCTTTACCTCCAAATCCGCCATGGCCTCCGTCTGCATATCGAACTGCATCAACGACGCTCGAGTCCCCGTCCGTCCGACCTACATAAACCTCTACAAGTGGCCGGAATCCGACGCCGAGTTCATCCGATCCGTCAGTTCCAAACTGAACCGAACATCGCGCGTCGTCGACAGCATCTCTTGCCGGCAGATGTATCTCAGAAGTTACACGTTCTCCAGAGAAGAGGATAACATGCCGGAGAAGACGAACAAGTGCTTCGGCAAAGTCGGAATGCGACAGAAAGTTTCTCGCCGGAGAAATAAGAAGAAGAAGAAGAAGAAGGCCATGGCGGAGGAGGACGAGTCTGAGAAGATCAGGAAGTGTTCGACGCTGAAGAAGGCGAAGGAGTTATCGTGCGCCGCTTTGACGTCCGTCTTCCGGCGGTTGCTATCGTGCACCGCTAAAGTCGACGTGGCCGATAATGCCAGAGAGGTCCATTAGCGATTAGTATTTTTATTTCTTTATTTTTCTCTTTTTTCTTTTTTCTTTTTTTTCCTTTTGGTTCCCATTGGTCTAAATGGCATCCGATTCAGCAAAGAAGGAATGTTGTTGGTGTACGGAAAATATGTAAATTGGATTTTAAAGTTTTTTAGAGAGATAATATTTTTTTATTTATAGTTTCCATATTAAAGAAAAAAAAATGTGTTGCAATAATGATATATAAGGCTTTTTTTTTTCCCTCTTTCCTTAATGTAAATTTTAATATTTCCCATAATCTCATATCCCATGATATTCTAAAATATCTTTAATAAAATTTTTAAAATTAAATTGTAAATTTAAAGCTTTAATTTTATATCTTATAAATCAATTTTGTAAAATAAAAATTAATATTTCAAATCTTATTAGACACAAAATTGAAAATTCTGAAAAGTCTATATTTTATTTAAAAAATTTCTCAAAATTGGTATAAAAAGTTGTATACTTGTTTGATTTGAAATATATATATATATATATATATATATTGAATATTGGAAATTAAAAGATTTAATTAAAAATATCTCAAAATTGGTATAAAAAGTTGTATGCTTGTTTGATTTGAAAAAATATATTAAAAAAATTGAATATTGGAAAATTAAAAGATTTAATTAAAAAAAATTCTCAAAATTGGTATAAAAAGTTGTATGGTTGTTTGATTTGAAAAAATATATATAAAAATAAAAAATAAAAAAGTTTGAATATTGGGAAATTAAAAGATTCCTTAAGAATATTGGCAATCAGAAAATTACATAGAAAAAGCTGACATTGGTGAGTGGCTCAATCTCTTTCCTATTGGAAAAACATAGAAAAAGCTGACATTGGTGAGTGGCTCAATCTCTTTCCTATTGGAAAAACAGAATAGAAATATAATTAATTAAAAATCTGCAAAATCCCATAATTATTCTGTTAAATTAGATTGATTTGTTAAATATATTTTAAATTATTTTAAAATCAGTTTAGATTTAAACTTTTAAAGCTCATTTATTCCGTCATAAATATTAAAATTTTAATGATTTTTAAAAATTTTGAATTCAAAAATCAACTTTTGACTATTTTAAAATCGCTTTCATTAAAACTTATTAAGTACTTTCTTTATTTTTCTTTACCTTTTCAAATGTTTTCAAATTTTACTCCAATTTTGAATTTTTGGAAATAATTTATTTTTTTAAGCTTAAAAACTTTTTTTTTTCAAAGAATTCAACGTATGATTTTAGTCAAATATAAATGTATTATAATTAGCTAAATTAAAATTTTTTAATTATATATTAAAATTCAGAAACTATTTGATGGGTGGCTTTTAATTTTATGTTTTTATAAATACTATTTTTACTAATGAATTTATTTATTTTCTTACCTATTTTTTTATAAATGTGCTTTTAAAATTGAAGCCAAATTTTGAAAATTACAAAAATTAATTTTAGACACTTGTCTTTTCAAATTTGGATAATGAAAGATAAGAAACCCTTTTCAAAAATGGTGAGACAATAAATCCAATTTTCAAAATAAAAACCCAATAACCCTTTTAATTCTGATAATTAAAACTATGTTTTTTTTAAATAGAAAATCTAATTAACAAAATTAGGTGAAAATAATAAATTATATTTTAAATTCTTGCAACAAAGAAGGCGTTAAGAAACCCTCCTGGCCCAACCCTAGACACTCTAAGATCCTTTTTCAAATCTCCTGGTCCCTGCAGAAGAAAGGAAAAAGAATTTCGAGTTCCTTAGAGAGAGTTGTCTCGCGCCCCCAGGTATTCTCTAACTTATCAACTCATTAGCTTCACACAACCATCAAAATTTATGAAACAAATTTGTAAAATTATTGTTTATTTGTGTTAATTACCACGCGAATCAACTTGTATGTCTATTTGACCTACAAACAATCTATCTCTCTAAAACTTTAAACAGTTTGAGATCCCGTATCAGTTGAAGAAGAAGAATGAAACATTCTTTTTAAGGGTGTGGAAATTTCTTCCTATTAGATGCGTTTTAAAATCACGATCATATGCAACAGGTCCGTACTAATGTAGGCTTGAGTTGTTACAAATGGTATCAAAGTCAGATACTGAGCAGTTTATCCGCAAAGACACTGGGTCTCCAAAGATGGTGGATTGTGAGATCTCACATGAATTGAAGGTGAGAACCAAACATTTTTTTACGAGGATGTAAAAGACTTCTTTAATCTCATTAGAAATGCGACTGGAATTAAAAGTGGGTGTTTAATTAGGGTTTTGGGGGAAAGGGCATGTCGGCAAGGAATGATTTTGAAGGTCCAAGCTTTGTCTGTGGTGTCGGGCTGTGCGGTGGGACATGGCTCCACTGGCATTCTAATGAAATTAAGCGCCTCATTGCACGCAATCTGCTATCATTTCTGGTCATGAGTTTAAAGCATCACATTAACATTATTTTTTTCATCTCCCATCATTCATTCTCATTCCTTGCCCTTTTTCGTTATATTTTACTCCTTACCTACATATATTTTTATAATATAATATAATATCGTCGCAATAACACCGTATCGATTCATCTCATATTCTATTTCTTTTTCGATCCGTTCTTTTCATACTTGGGGTTTTTTTTTTTTTCATTTTGTGTTCTATTTAATCGAACTTAGGATTTCTGATTTTCAGAAGTGACACGAATTCAATTTTCTACTTCAATTTTCAAAATCTGTCATATCTAAAGAAGATTTTCTAAAAAATTTTAATTTCTTTTTATTGATAAATTTCTAAATAAAAAAATAGAAGGTGCCCTTGTGGCTGATTGAAAATAGGAGAGTCGTTATCCATAGAAAGGGCGTCGACCCATCCGGGAAGAAAAGTTGCGAGGGTTACGAGAAGGTTAGATGACCTTATTTTATGGTTCAAATTGAGAAACGAATCTAATTTTTAGGTCAATCAATCAAATTTGTTTAGTTCTTTATTAGTTGGTAATGGGGCATGTGGGTGCCAAACATGTCTTTTTTATCACTTCATACGCCTTGAAGAAGCCAACAAAGCATATACAAAAGCATGCTACTCAAATTATTCTATGTACAAGTTCACAATTATTGAGTAAATTTAATCCTCAAACTTTCGAATATTGTATAGATTCTTTGACCGACTCGGGCATCGAATGGATTCGAACGACCGATAAACAACAATTAAGAGACATTGAAACATGAAAGACAACAATGTATGGCAGTTCATTACATAGTTGAAAGAAAACAATATCCAGATGAAAAATGGATCTAAATTGCAGCAAAGACATGTTCCATGAAAAGATTCAGAGCTAAACACAACGAAGCCTCGACACCGCTACCTACGGAGATCGGGAAGTTTAGGAAAAAACGACACACCATGGTCATTGACAAGATGTTAGCTGACTAAAAAGAATTACAAGACTAAATGTCTAATGATTCTAGACAAACATGAAACGACGACAAAAACGAATATGTTCGATGAAGGGATGCAAATCACAATCAATCGGTAACGGAGATGCGAACTACCTTGTTCGTTGTAGTTCGTTGAAGTGGTAGCAAGTTTGATAGATATTGCAGAGACTCACCAGCACAGCCCCTTCTGTACAAGAGAAGAACCCAGTATGTTACACATGTAGTTTGGCTCCTCCCTCTGCAAGAGAAAAAATGGCTAATAAATGTGAAGAAACACAACTAGAGATTGTCCTGTTCATATCCAATGAAGCAAGGAACATTCTCTAAAAGGGTGCGCCTACGTCGTTGCCTGAAGTATACAGAACGCCAACGCCACATATTCAGCTGCATCGGCCTAATGCTGCAGCGACATCGGGTCATCGACCCTCAGATTTCACCAGCTGAGAGAACACCCTACTCATGGAAACTCCAGAAAGATCATCCACGCCTGGAACATCAAACCGTGTAGCAGAAGCACCTGTTTCGATATCATTGAAGTTGTTAATTTGTGGAGAGAGCTCGCCGATCATATTAGTACTGTTATCTTCTGGATCGACTTCGATAATGGCTTCTTGTAGCTGAAGAGCATACTCCAAGTTCCACAAGACGTCTCCCATGGATGGCCGGTCGACTCCGTAGTCAGCCAAGCATTTTTCAGCAGTTTCACCAAACTTCCTAAGAGAAGTTGCTCTAATTTTACCTACAAGAGTAGAATCAATGATTTGATCCAACTGCCCTTTCTTCTGCCATTTCATTGCCCATTCAGCTAAGTTGACCATTTCTCTAGGAAGGGTTGGATCTATGACAGGTCTTGCACAAAGAACTTCAAACAAAACAACTCCAAATGAATAAACATCTGATTTCTCTGTCAGTTGTTGCCTCCTGAAATATTCAGGATCGAGGTACCCAAAACTCCCTTTCACAGCAGTACTGACATGGGTTTGGTCTAGATCAGGACCCGTCTTCGAAAGCCCGAAGTCTGCAACCTTCGCCATGAGGTTTTCGTCGAGTAAAATATTAGCGGACTTCACGTCACGATGAATAACCGGTTTGGCATAACCAGTATGGAGGTAATGAAGTCCTCTAGCGGCTCCAATGCAGACCTCAAGTCTCTCTTTCCAGCTCAAACTAGGAAAATCAGAACCATATAGATGACTCTTCAGGGTGCCTTGTTCCATGTACTCATAAATCAGTATCATCTCATTCCTCTCATCACAGTAACCAATCAATGAAACGAGATGACGATGACGAAACTGTGACAGCATCTCGATTTCAGTTTGAAACTCGGCCAATCCTTGTTGGGAACGTGGATTACCCCTCTTTGCAGCAATTTTGGTGCCATCATTCAATACTCCCTTGTATACTTTCCCGAACCCGCCAATACCAATAACCCAGCTCTCATCGAAGTTATTTGTAGCCTCTTGAACTGTTGCAAAAGGTATTCGATACCCGTATTTGGAAGCAGCACTTGTGATCGTGCCATTAGAGTATTTACTTCCAATAGTGTGTGACATTCCTCCAGCTGTGGATATCGAAATCCACGATTTCGTCGGGGCCTGATGCATTCCCTTTCTTTTTCGTCTGCACAGCACGAAAAGAACGCCAGCCAATATAGCTGCAACAAATACCCCAATAACCACACCGATAATGATGCCAACATGCTTATTTGAAGAAGTCGAGCCTGGAAAACTAATTACAGAGTCTTCCCCGCTGAGACTGCCAACAGAGTTGCTCATTTTCATGATTTCCAGACCATTTAGAATGGCATTTGGATACACATTGGCTAAGTTTGCTGGGCCAATACTCACAAGAAGTATGTCATTCTTGATCAATCCTGTAACAGAGTCCATATAGTATGGAGTGCCCAGAGCATTAGAAAGTCGAACACTAAGATCCAGATCCCGAACAACCAGCCACGAGTCGACATAAACATTGAAATAAAGTTGGTGTAGAGATTTGCTCACAATGTCACAGAAGTGAAATCGAACAAGATACTGAAACTCGGGATCGACTTTAAACTTCCATGTCACATTGAAGTTACTGTTTGGATCGTCCTTCGAGTTCATCTCCATGAGAGTACCATAGACAACATTTGGAGCAATCTCCGGCGCTGCGCCTTCAGGGCTGTATTTAACAGCGGGAATGTTCGAGAAACTTGTTGCAGAATTCTTATTTACTAGAAAGCTTCCATCAGAAACCCAATTCCGTGTAAGAGGATCTTTATCAGGAGCAACTTTTGGGCCACCCACATTAACTCTACCAACAGTCTCATATGCTAGAGTAGTCAGCCCTTGAAATTTACCAGATGGTTCTAACAAAGTGGCTTCATCAACAATGAGAATGTCAGGAACAGAAACAACTTCAATGGCGTTCACATATGCAATGGAGCCATTAACAGGAGCAAAGATAACTTCAAGAGCATCTGATTTTACATCCACAGAGAATTCTTTGACTATGGGATCCTTCTCTACAACCAAATCTCTCAGCAGAACAAAGTTTTGAGTTGAAACACTGAAATTTGCAGCACTCATATTGAAGCTAGAAAACACAAATGGATAGAAATAGAGGCGGATCCAATGCCTTCCGGTTTTCTTTATTGGAAACGTGAATTTTGATGTTCCAGTAAAGATTCTAGCAGTTTCGAACAGCGATGAATCGTTAGAAGAAGAGGCAGGAACTGAAGATGTATTAGCCGAAATGATCTCTGGAGTGGAAAGCAAATTTGAAGCCAAATTATCGGCCATGAAAACACGATTACCCACAGACACATTCCCCGAAGATCCACAGTCAATGAGATAATTATCTACCGGATTAAACAAACAAGAAATGTAAGGAAACAACGAAATCAACAAACCACCCCAGAGGAGTAATCCAAATCTTCTTCTACAATCCATCGCTACAAGTTTCAATAGCTAATCAAGAACAAGGACCAGAAACAGAACCTGATTCGAAGCAACTTTTGAAACTAGGGTTTACAATGGAAGAACAATCAATAGAATGTGTTTTCAATCAGAATCCAAGAAAACGACCGAGAAATTAGCACTTTGTTTATCATAAAAAATCCAAATAGTGATAGAACCAGATGTATATTCTTCAGCGGGAGGCAAATCTGAAGCAAACAGAGAAGCAACAGTGAATCAAAGTACAATAAATCTGAAAAACCACCAACTGGGTCGAAGTTGTAGGTTTAAAAGCAGATAGATACCCTTCCATTACTACTTGCGATAAGAGCAGAACAAAAACAAAAGAACAATGAAGAATCTCAGAGGAGAAAGCGAGCTAGAACGCGGAAAGAGACAGCCAAGTTCTCAGACAGCTGACTTCGTTCTGGCAAGATCCAAAATAATGAAGTTCATCCGTGGAGGTAAGAAAGTGACAATAAAGAGGTAAAATGAACGCAGAGAAATGGAAGAACAACAGTAGGGCTTTAATGGCGGGATTGAAAAGTAACAGAAAGATATTTAGTGATTGAAAAGACGAAGTTGCAGAAGTTGGATGAACTGATTTCAGAAACGAACAAGAGAAATTGGCGAGAAATGAAAAGTTGAAATTAAATTAAGCTTAAAATAAGATCGGCATTTGGCAGCGTGCTAAGGTCAAGAAATTCGATCCGAAGAAATTTTGTTAAAAAAATTGAGCGCTCAAGAACAGAGGTTGAGCCGTCCATCACGAGGCAGTCATTTGGGAGCACATGGATTATTCGGTTCTTTGGGTCCGAGTTCTTTTTGATATTCAAGCTGTATGGATGACCACACAAGCCAAATTCGGATATTTTACGAACAAAAAGATAGTTCTAACACAATGAACAAGTCAGTTATGAAAAATTTAGACTTCATGGACAACATCGACATATGCTCGAGCCTCAAAGTCATGTCTCAAATAAATGTTTTAGAAAACGTGAGCCGAGAAATATGTTGAAAACAATATTATAAGCTAAAAGCGATTAGTTAATAACAACGGGTTTGATAGCATAGAACTCTGGGTGAAAAATGTGACAACTAATCATATCCGTCCCTAGTACATTTTTTTGGCATTTTAGCTGGGACGAATATAGACATGATTTTGATGACCGATCATACACCCTGTATTGACACAACTTGAAATAGTAAAGACCTATATAGAATGAAAGATGGTCATGGACTACACTTCCTAGACAAACATGGTCGAGACATCTGATATGTAGCAATAGACAACATACCTTTGACAAGTATGACCGTGACAATTAGCACATGTTTTTCCATTTAGTGAGAAAAGACTTTTTCGAACTAAGTAGAGTTTGTCCGATCTCTAATACATTTAAAAATTAGAGGTTTATAGTTCTAATATGTCGGTCGTATGAACATGTAACTTGTATTGAATTGTTTATCTCATATATGCGCTCGTATTATTATTGACTGCAAATTCAAACACGCCACAACTAATTATTTGGCTAGATAAAAGGCGAGCTAGAACTTAGTCGAACATTTATACTTTAAATAAATATTTTATTTTATCCATTTATTTATTTTTCCCTATAAATAACTATTAATACGTGGAAATAAAACGTCACAAAATTTTGACATAAAAATAATAAAATTATTGGACGAAACAACATGTATGCCATGTTTGGAATAACTCATTAAAAAGTATTTTTAATAATTTTAAAAAAATCAATTTTCCTATAGAAATATTTATTAATTTAAAATTAGTTTCTTATAACTAAATTTTTTTTATTGATTACCTTAAATATCTATTTTCAAGAAGTCAAAATGGGTTTAAAATAATCAACTAAAAATATATTTAAAAAAAATACGTAGAAATAAAAAAAAATGACAATTTATAATTTTATAATAAAGAAATCGTATTTATAATTAATAATATCTTTATATATTGCGCAATGAAAATTTTTATTAATTGTTTTAATAGATTAATCATTTACTATAAGTTGGAGTAAGTTACCAACCTACCCCAACTAGACCACGTAGATATTAAAATATACACGTGGCTTTTAATTTTTTTAGCTATTTTTTCCACTATTGTGTTTTTTAATTGCATTACCACCCAACACGCTTTCTTAATATAATAAATGTTAAAAGTATATTCTTTAAAATCCTTAAAATTCGCTAAATTTGGCGGAGCTCATTTCATTAGCATTTGTGTATAAATCATTTCATCAATATGCAAGTCGTCTTCTTCTTCCTCAAACAAATTTTACATCTTTTGAAGATCTCGAGAGGAATAAAATATTATAATTATTATGATTATTTGTAACAAATATAAACCATTTGTAATTGTATCCCACCGCTAGTAAACATTGTTCATTTTAATCTGCGATGGCGGTGAACGTCACTTCCAACCAGACTCTTATGTCGACATCATTCATAGTGATATCAAGAACACAATTATCTGCGACTGCTCGTGGGAAGCTGACGGATCCGCTCGAAGAAGAACACGACCAATTGTGTTTGTGTTTGAGGACTTACATGTCCAAAACTTCAACGCCTTATGAAAAAATCAACCATTTTTGGGCAGCTGGCGGGAGTTGCGCCATACATCATGTCTTTCCAAAATGGACATTTATTCTTTCTTTTGTATTTACTTTTTTTCTTTTCTTTTTATTAATTATTCAAAGCGTAGAAAAATATAGCGCAACTGACGGTGGTTTTAAATTATTAAATGCATGTTGAAAAAAAAAAAAAAAAAAACTAAAACCANATATAGCGCAACTGACGGTGGTTTTAAATTATTAAATGCATGTTGAAAAAAAAAAAAAAAAAACTAAAACCATATTTGCATAATAGAATATTTATATATTTATGTTGTCCATCCTTAATCGAGCTTCGAAGTTGATTGAAAGTTGCGAGGGAGAGGATTGTACTTGGAAATGGAAGCTCGAGCAACCTTCAACAAAGGGTATCTGTACCCGAAACCTTCACGTGTTAAGAGATATACAACTGTCTCTAAGGATTTTGACAAAATTACGGTGTTTCCTCATAAAAGAAGTTGTAGTGATTAGGCGGGGGCGATTGTTTACCAAATACACAGATTTTTGTAAAGTCGTAAGATCATGTATGGGAGTTGATGCTTGTCCAGCATCGAAAGGTCAAGGAAGTTGGTGATATGATGACAGAAAAATCGACGAACAAAGCCTTGGTGCACGACGATCGTAACCATAACTCTTCTAAGATAGTAAACTTCCATGTTGAATAAGTTTCAATACACACGAAAGTCATAACAATCTAAGCATTGTCTTAAAGTGAAGCTAGGTAAAATAGACATGTACGAGAAAATGTATACTATTTACACCGAAATAGGAATACCTATAAAGCTTAATTGAATTGAGTTTGGTAATTATATTTAAGCGGTCTTATTATATAAATGTTAAATTAATAAAAATACACTTAAGATTTAATATTTACTTAAAAAATAATACTAAATTTTTAACTGTACATTCAAACAAGTCTAAAAAATTACCGTTCAACTTTAAAAAAAAATTAAAAAGTATCCTAACCGTTAATACAACATTTCAAAAATAATATTTAAAAGTTTGAAGATAATATATGATGTGTCGATAGACAGTTTTCATCCATATATTGACGTTCTTAACATTTTTTTATAAAGGTAAACGACATTAACGTTACTTTTAAAATTTAATATTTTTATTAGTTTAGATATATTATTTGGGGTGGGGCTGTTTTGAGCATTTTGGAGATTTGATTTGATTGGATGGTGGGTGAGCAGTTATGGTTGTTTGAGGACATTCAACAAACAGGTAGTGGGTGAGACGAGGATGTCAAATGAAGCGCCCACCACGACGGTATTTGTTGGCCTCTTGCCACTTTAAATCACCCCGCCCCCATTGCTCACTTTTGCCAGCTGAGATGCAAAATTTTTGCCTATAAGTCACCTCGACCGTTCGAGTCGCGATGATACTTCATGACATCGAGCACAATCACTTAAAATTCGTAAAGAAATTGAATATTAATGTACAAAGTAGCATATATATTTTAAATTAAGATGTCTTTATATACTAAGAATTCGTCGCGATGAAGAATCAATTTGAAGTTTATTACAACTAAACCATATAACATAAGAAAAATATAAATGCAAAAAAAAAAAAAAACTATAATGTTAAAATTTGAATCTAATGTCACATCGAAGAAAAACATCGATCTTCTCATTATGATGTTAGTAGATATTGTCTTTTTTGGAGTTTTCCTTTCGGGTTTCTCCTCATAAACGAGATAATATAAGAAAAATATAAAGACAACCAAAATATAATGCTAAAATCCTCTTTGGGTTTTCCCTTATGGGCTTTTCATTACCCATCGACTACGGTCGTTCTCCTCCCCAACTAATATAGGATATCACGTAGGTCTTTTTTCATTTGCTTTACATGAATAAATTTGGAAGTACAGAAGGATCGTTATGTCTTTTTCAACGAGTTGATACACTGATTCATGGCTCGTAAGCTCACTATGTTACATGAAACAAATTTCAAAAGTCCACATTGTTAGAAATCATCGATCTCCATAATGGTATGATATTGTCCACTTTGAGCATAAGCTCTCATTACTTTGCTTTGAGCTTCCCCAAAAGACCTCGTACCAATTGAGATAGTATTATTTGATTATAAACCTATAATCATTCCCTAAATTAGCCGATGCGAGACTTTCATCATCTAACACACACATAAGAATTAGAGATTAGGTAATATAAGTTGGTGTATGCCAAATACATGGTTACGAGTCACAACAAACTGTTTCCATTTACAAGTGAAATGAGGTGTCGTTTAAAGAAGGACAGGCTGTGACATGCCCTGAATTACGAGTTACGAGTAATTTGTGCTATTTTTCTAAGATCGCACGTGTTCACGATCTAATATTTTTAAAGATTTTACCGATGCTAATGGATTTAATTTTAATTTAAGTATTTTTTTTATTATAAAAAAATTAAAACAGTGTATTTTATTATGTATATAATGCCAAATTATGGATAAATGCTGAAAATAAAGGCCCAAAGAGGTTGAGGAAAGCCCTCTAGGCCTTAGGTCCACAAAATCCTCCAATCACAAAGCGAAGGGAAAGGGCGAAGACTGCGTTTCGCTGCATCGCGGTCGCAGACCGACGTTCTTTTCTTCATCCTATAAATACTGTATCACTTCCCGAATTTTGTTCCTTTCTCTCTCTTCATTCTCCCTTACATCTCTCATCTGAATTAGGGCACACAAACACGATCTTTGTTTCTGAACCAGACATCTCTCCGATCTGCTATTCAGGTTATTTCCTATCTCTGATTTTTCTTATTCAGATTTACTCATTTCGATTTGTTATGAATTCGATTCCTGATCTTCTCCTTCTCGTCACTTCTTCTTCACTGTTCGTCAAATCCTCTGTTCATCTACATTGCCGATCCTAGGGTTTCGGGATTTACTTTCAAGTTCTCGTCGGATGTGGTTCTTTTCTGATGGATTATTAAGTTTGAACTAGTTGAAACTGGGTGTGGTTTGGAAGGAACAGTACAGAAACACTACAATATTTCTCGGTTTGTTTTTAATATTCTTGTTTCGATAGTTGTGGAAGAAGAATTCACTGACTGAATATCTATATCTCGACCTCCCCATGTTTCTCTTGGATTTCCTGAACGAATGCTTTTCAGTAGATGCAGTTAGTCATTTGTATGTATAGATGACAATATCGTGTTTGTCTATGGAGGATTCTCA